ACTGTCCAATGCTTGGAAGTCTCTAATTATCCACAGCAAATAGTTTATTCTGTGGTTTGTGCTGTGTTAAAAGAGTCTGAAAATTACAGAATATGCTTAATTTTTATTTATTTATTTATTTTTTCCGGCAGGATGATGAAGAGCCTGATCCTATTTCACTGGGGGTGTGTGGGGTAGGACAGCCACCTCAGGGCATCAAAAGAAAGGCCGAGACTCAGCTGGGCTCCCCACCCGAACCCACACAGGCACTGCAGCATCAAGATGACGATGGTAGAATCGGGCGCTACAAGATCAGAGTAAGGATGTAGATGATTTATTCTTCTTATTATTGTTATTGTTATGTCTTTTGCCAAGTTTGGCTGGCATGTATTTTTTGTTTGTTTGTTTTTTGACAGATTGCACATGACTTTCCTCAGTTGTTGTTTTGTTTTGGTTGTTTGTAGTTTAACACGGAAGATGAAGATATTGACATGGAAACTGTGCATGATAGTCAGGCCTTCATTCACCATCACCTCAATCTTCTGGAGAGACCCTCCACACCAGGTGATATAACATAGTTGCAACCCAATGATTGCCGTTTGTGTTTACCACCCCAATGATGCTTTTCTTTCAAGGTAAAGAGCCAGCATTCGTCGAACAGTCAATGCTCTCCATGCCAGCCACGCCTATACCATCCTTCTCCAAAGACACCACATCCTTACCTTCGAAACACAGAGGGGAGCATGGCCACCACCATCACGAGCACAAGAAGAAAAAGAAGAAAAAGCACAAGCACAAACACAAGCACAAGCATGACAACAAGGACAGAGAGAGAAGTAACTGGCATCCTTACAGCAATAGCCCAGTCAGTGGCAAGTCCCTCCACTCACCATCGCTCTCTGAATAAAATCTTCACAGGTAAAGTTAGCTACCCATCATAGTGCCACATGTTTGTCAATTGGGGATCCACAGTAGACCAACCACTTTATCACCTTCAAGTGAGGATTCACTCATGTGCAGAATCTCATAGATTCATAATGTTCTCCTTTGCTCATTCATGATTGCTTTTTTTGGGGAGGGGGGGGGGGTTCTGGGTGTTTTACCAAAATCTTATTTTCTTACTAGCTAGAAAAGGGAAGTTTACCTTGCTAAAGTTTTAGGCAGTACTATGGAAAGAACAAAATACAATTTAAAATTGCGATAACCAAGAGTGTTTGTAAATTGATCGCCAACATGTCTGCTTGTCTTTGATAAAACAGACCTAATCTTACAATGTCAGTTATTCCTGTAAAACCTCTTACTCAAGCTATTATGTCATTTTTAACAAATTTGTCGGCATAGCAAGGCCCTTTTTTGTTATCAATATTATTATGTTTTTGGTATGTTTTTAATTGTACAGTGATCCCTTGCTATTTCGCGGTTCGTTTATTGCGGCTTCAGTGCATCGCGGATTTTTTCAAACATATTCATTAAAAAAAAAAAATTCTCATATACATGGAATACAGTACTGTATATGTTGCTCTATGTGACTCGCTGTTGTTTTGCTGACTTTCGCAGCTTCTCGCGGACCGTTTGCGGACTTAAAAAAAACAATTTTTTTTTTTATATGTTTATTGGTCGCTACTTCGCGGATTTTCATTTATCGTGGGTAGTTTTGGTCCCCATTAACTCCGATAAACGAGGGATTACTGTAGCTCCTTTCACTGCCATTTAATTTCAGTCATTGCTTCTCTCACATGACAACATGACAGTATACACATCATGGATAATTTTAAGAAATTGCTGCATGGACCGTACGTGCAACATAATCAGCAGCAGGGGTGCATATATAATAATTTGAACTGAAGGAGCCAGTGCTACAATATCATAACGACACAACCAAATCCGCGAATGAAATACAGGATCAACTGACGAACATCACAAACACTGTCATCCAAACCAGCGAGCCATTGTCACAGATTGCTGTATATGCATCGCAAATGTTAAATAAATACATTTTAAAATGTTGAATATGAAATGTCTCAGTTTTCCAAAGTAGCTATGCCTAAAAATACCTACAATCTCCTATGGGCCTCTCTAGTTGGAATAACAGCAGCATTGGCATTAAAAAACAAAAACTCACAAACCACTTTGAGTCGAAAAGAGAGCCATCCACAACTTGGGTCAATTTGACCTTACTTTCTGTGTCGATTTTTTTTTTTTTGGGGGGGGGGGCTGTTTGATACAAACTGCCCATTTTTTGGGTTAGGGTTAGCATCAAATACGGCAAGATTAAAAAAAAAATATATATATATGCTTATTCAATGAAAATGTATAAAAAGAGCTCCGTTCACATTGGCATTTGGCATACAGGAGCCAATATCCAGAGTTTAATTCTCTCTCATTGCACTTATTGGACAAGTGTCGACTCTTGAAGGAGCATATGAATCCCCTCTCAAACTAGCTGTCAAAAAGAGTATGTGTCTCAGTCCAACCGTCATGAGTTCCTCAACACTGTGTTTTGTTGAAACCACCTGTCTTGTCTGAAAATTGCCAGGGTAAGAATTGTTCCCCTTGATCTGCAGTGCACAAACGCCCCTGAATTCACCTCCTCCCCCTCTTGGCTCTCCTGCAGTAGAGCACTGGCTGCAGCGACTCAAACCGTTAAGAATGTCTTCGCAATCCAAGACGTTTGGTGCAGTCATATTCTAACCATAGTGGTGTGCATCTCTCCAATAAAAGACGAGCATGACCACAAACAAAACTTGTGTCATGACAGCATCCTGGCAAAAACTGTTGTGTGTAGGAAAAGTCACCTTTACATCAGGAAATCTTGTCTTGCATTTATATTGCAACAGTTGAGTTCTACAAGTGATTGTTTCAAAATGAATCCACAGTAAATATAACAAGTCTACATGCCCTTGTTGAAATGCCATGTTTTTTGTGATAAATTCAATGGTCATATTTTCTACCACATGCATCTGAAGGATTTCAAATTTGTTTGTGGATTGTTGGCTTTCATTGTCAAATGAACCTTCCATCCTACCCCTTCACTCAGACATACAAAGATGGGTGAATTTTGTCACGTGTGCTAAACAGTCAGTACTTGGTAGAAAATCCTGCAACTCCTTCACTGTTATTGGCCGCTTCTAGGCAGCCCTAATGACCTGTTTTCTTCTTGTCTTTAATCCATGTTCGGAAGTGGGCGGTCAGGTGGAGGATGAAAGCTTTTTTTTTTAGAACGACCGAAGTGATTTTGCTTCCCATTTCACATTTTTTGGGGCATGGTGAGGATGCCATTCCTCAGGTGGATGCCCCGTTGGCCTTGCATGCCCCATGAGATTTATACAAATAAAGTGTTGCATATTGATATTTATTTGTTTCCTACCATGTTAAATCAAAGTTGATAATATTGAGGGAAAAAAAATAATTATTAGAATAATTCAATGTAATTGTAGCCAGGGGCAAAGCCAGAAATTTTTCAGAGGAATGGCCGGGGTGACACAACACGTCAGTGAGGGGTGGCTGTGCGTGCATCAGTCATACTTTATCATAGCACCCATCCACAGTCAGGGTTTCATGAACTATTACTCAAACATATCCAGAACAATGCCCATCACACTCTCAGACAAGCAGGAACAAATCAAAGTAAAAAAAAAACTTCATTTTTTGCCGAGTTAAATTTCACTAGATGCGGCTAGACAGCTGGGATAGGCTCCAGCACGCCTGTGACCCTCATGAGGATAAGCGGCTCCGATCATGGATGGATGGATGTCATTTTCTTTGAGGTGGCTTTGCTTTTGTGTAGACTTGTATAGTGTACTTCTGTCTCACTGATTTGCTAGCTAACAGCCATTTCGAGTGGTCATAGACGTCTGACAACAGTTTGCAAACGAGCATCAATAACTCATTCATTCATGTCTAAAATCACAATGACACAAAAGTCCCTTAATCCTTCCCAATTCTAAATGTTGCTTTTTTACTTAAATTTGTTTCTGCTTGTATTATGAGCATATCTGCAGGACAGCAATGTGTGCATTTTATTTCCTGAAAATCTTCTGAAACAATCACTTCTCTGTCATCTCGTTTGCTTGTTATGGTGTGAAAGTAATGATTTTGATCGATATTGACTAGAAGAATTGCATTTCCTTTACTTAAAACAGATTTTTTTTTGTGATTGCATTCATATAAATTGTATATTTAGTCTTTATTTATGCGCTATTTTAAGTGAATTCATGTGAAAATGTCATACAAATTAGATCTCAAGATGTTGGTATTTTGGTGTCCATGGGGCACAGAGTGGTGACAAGGGCCACCCATGGCCACCCTGTAGCTCCGCCCCTGATTGAAGCAAACTACCAGTAGTTATTTCACAAGTGTGCATGAAACTGGTAGCCCTTCATAATTCGGTACCCCCCCCCACCCCTTTTTTTTAAGATAAGATAAAATATCCTTTATTTGTCCCACACTGGGGAAATTTACAGTCTACAGCAGCACAATTGGGGGATAAAAAGAAGAAAAAAACAGAGTTTGCATGCACAAAAATAAATGTTTCAGAAGAGAGCTGTACACAGTTCAATATAAGGGCAATATAAATCCATCCATCCATCCATCCATCCATTTTCCACCGCTTATCCGGGGTCGGGTCGCGGATCTATAAATATAGATTTTTATTTTTATATATATATATAAGCATATATGCAACTGGTATAAGTATGGTATATATTTATATGATATATACAACAAAACTCAGTTAATGCAAATTACAATTCACCCTGAAGAAGTAGCTCTCACTTTGAAAAAGGTTGATGACTCCAGATACCGTATAGGCAAATGTGTCTATCATCCATTCTGCTGGGTCAACTTCATTAAAAGAAACTTGGTAGACCAGCATAGAAAGTGTATTATCACCGCAATTTCCATTTGGGTGGTTTAGCCAGCCTCAAGGCAGAATTACATTGGATGCGGGAATGAAAGATACAGAGGACTTTGTAAAGAATCGAAGACGGGGAAAAGGTAAGGAGATGAAGCTGTATAAAAGCTCCGCCTCTTCACGAATCTATTTCCTTTGAAACCAGGACTTGCGATCCCAAGTATATATGTTAAAATGGATAAATAAATAAATTGCTTCAATCCAAAAATTAAACGAGACTAATGTACTATTATTATCCTCGGAACGATCTGAATCTCATCTTCATTTATATATGTTAGTTGTTGGGATACTGTATCTTACAGTAACGGAGTTATTTTGAACCCGAACGCGATGTTTCGGCTGACGGTAAGAGTCAACATGTTGATGAAAATTTGGAATGTGTTCGTGCAATTGACTAACGTCGTGTGCTCGAAATGACTTACATTTGCATAAAATGAACCTAACGGGAATTCACTTTTCATGTATTTATGTTTATGGTTGAAAAGAAACTGCGGGGGGATAATTTCTACGAAAGTGCAATATTCGCCTGTCAAATACTTCATTGTTAAAGCGGGTGGACACGTAGAACTGCAAAATGTCAGTAATAACAGAAACGACTAAGATGAAAGAATGACACTGGTTGGAGTTTTTGTTTAGTTTGTTGATGTTCGCGGTTTAATCTGAAATTTGGAAAAATATTAAATGCTGGCAATTAAACTGCTGTGTCACTATTTTTCAGTTTGCGTGGATTCTCTGGGTACTACTCACTGATATGTCATGGGGTTTTGTGTTCGACCGACTTAAACGCTCAGGGGCAAACGCCACGGCCACTGGAAGAGCAGACCGTGAGTATGTCTTGTTAGAACAGCCCTTTCATTGTTTTTTAGTCAGCATATATTAGGACAAGTTAGGTCCTGAGGAATAAAATTTCATAAAAAAACATTTCGTAGCACATATACTTGTCACCACACCAAATTTACAGAATATTCCAAAAGAATGCAGAACTTGTTTAGTTTTTTTGTCAGTGTGATAAAAGCAATGACTGAGAAGAAAATGGTGATTGATAGCCTACCACCAGTTTCTTTTCTAATTTGATATTGACTAACATTCAAGTTGGTATTTGCAATACCAACACTACCAACAGAGCAAGTACACTTCATGTCCATCCAACTATTTTCTATACTTATTAACAGGGGTGCCACTGGGTAATATGGACCATGGAATGAGCCCCCAGGAGATGCACAGGATATAAGCGAACGTAGCACAGGAGCACAAAAATTTCATGGACAGCTAACAAAGACAAATAAATTGCTTTTCAATGTTTTTGGATGGACTAAACAAACATATGACTCTAAAATGTAATATGTGTGTGTGGAACAGATGCTAGTTAGTTTGTCTGTACTGTAAATAAATCCAGTGAGCGTTCAAAAGTTAATTCTGAGTGTTCTGTTCAAAATTAACTAATCTTTTCAGTGAAGGTGAGTGTGAACGGATTACTTTCTGAAGTGATCCGTTCTTTTCTCAGGTCATTTGAACTAAGCCACGTGCATGTCATCAACTTTTACAAACAACCAATCAGCAGACAGTGTCAGATGAGGCGGAATTTACTTGAACATACTACCATACTGTTGGCGGTCACAAATGAGTCGATGAGGGAACTTCCCGTTCGCGAACGATTCAGTGAGTGAACATGCTGTCATGCCATTCTCGTTCGTACGTCACAGCTGCAATGTTTTTGATAGGAATAATAATATTACAAATGTCGTAATTAAAACTGCAACATCAGGGTGAGCACATTTTTTTAGTTTCTCCGTCCTTCCCGAGGGGAGGGTGTGTGGGGTGTTGGGGTTGTTTTGGTGAATGAATCATTGAACGATTCTTTATGATGAACTGATTCTAATGATATCGTTCAAAGTAACTGTCATACCCATCACTAGAGTTTGTGCACTATGAGAGTGTGTGTGTTCGTAGAGACAAACATTTTCTCCCGTTAATTTCTGAATGCAGCCCATGTTCTAAACCAGTCAGCAGCTCGTGCTTGGATATTGTTTCCCAGGGGTGGGTGTGTGAGTAAATTTTGCTGGTCCATCATTCACCAGCCACTGGGCCACCCGTCCGTTATCGTCAGTCATTATTTGAAGCAGACAAAATCCGTCATCGTCAATCCATCCACTCCATTATCATTATTTTAATGATGCTTCCTTCATTACTAAATTACAGTTCGCACAACAATTTTAGGACTATCCGTCTTCTTCGTGAGAGAGCAGACTTGCAGAATGGGAACCGAGAGTAGGCTCCCCAGGTCACCAGACTGACAAGTGATAAGGGCTGAACCTCAGTTCAAAAAAATGCAGTAGGCTTTTTTTTTTTCCTCCCCTCAGCACCCACTTATTTATGTGTACACTGTCAGAAAGAAGAAGCAGATCTCACCGCAGCAACAATTTGACAAATCACCCACTGGGTTCAATCAAGCAGATTTTGATTTCAATTAAACTTGCTGTACTTGTTAATAGTCAGGGTGCAACACAAAATCTCGAATTTTAGGTCAGCCGCAGCAGGGGATGGGGAAGTACGGCCCACCGAATTTTAATATGTTCGGCAAAAAGGGATGTGGCCACCTTCCTTTGGACCCTTATACCTCAGGGACTACTCGGTCAGTCTTCACAAAATATCTGCTGTTGGAAAGGGAATTTAACAAGGAATCTAAATCTCAAATAATTTAGAAGAGTGTGGAAAAATGTTTTCACTTTACATTTTGACTAATAATTTTACCTTGAATTTGACCTTGTGGATCACATGACCTTAACATTTTTTTCATGGAATGTAATTTCTCGCGTTCTCTAAATCATAGAAAAGTTGCAGGGATGTAATTCTTTTTGTCTTGCAGCAACAAGGAGTCAAGTATCCCAGACCTACAGATTTGCAATAAATATTCAATGAATACTGAATTAATATTCAACTTTGAATGAATAATACTAAATGAATATTCAACTTTGAGTGAATACTCAATGTGTGTTCAACTTTCAATAAATGTTCAACTTTCAATGAATATTAAATGATTATTCAATAAATATTTGAGCCATGTATGATTTGGACTCCTTATTGCTTATAGCAATTATTGCTTATAGCAAAGTGTTATTATTCACCCCTGTGAACAAACACACACGAGACAAAGCAAAACAGGAGTCTGTCGGTACTGACTCGGTTCATGACAATTCGGGGATGGACGAAAATCCGCTTCCGTCGGTGCTTAGTATGTCAGTTCTTCGTAACCACTGATGGCATGGCTATTGGTGGTGCGGTGTTTTCTTATGTTTTCATCGGTTCATGTGGTGCCTTTAGAATACAGTAACTGTAACGATATGACGTAATCTTTGTATGCTAGTTTGTTGTTTGAATGACGTTCAATTACATTGAATGATGTTTGCAAATAAAATGCTCATGTGGTTAGAAGCGCGAAGGGCCGGTCGGACATCAGCGCTGTTGCTACATTTAGAATGGAATTCCATGTGATGTGTCTTAATGGTGTCTTTGTTTTCTTTTCTTTTATTCACCTTTTTGCAATAGTTTCAAGCTTATTCATCGTTGTTAACATGTGAAAGTTATGAAAGGGGCAAGATTGTTCATCTTTCCTGGTTCATGGATGACCATCTTGTTGACAACACATTGAGAGGGCAGTACAATGCTACTTGGAGCATATTCCTTGTGTTTACTAGAGGTGTAATGAAAACCAGTTTGAATTGGATTTTTTTTTTTTTTTAATTAAGACGATCCAGGTGTATTGAATTGAACCAAATCGAATAGTTCCACTTAAAAATATATCGTGATTTGTATCAAACCATCTTTATTGGGGAGATATCTTACAGTCCTGACAACTTTGAAATCAAGCCATTTTTGCATCCTACGTATCAAATTGGTGTTTGTCGAGAGATGCACACTAACAGATGTAACAGTGATCAATAACATTGCAATGATTTATTTTGGACATCCTTGGTTTTACGGAGAACCGCTATAGTCTTTGACATTTTGGTTTTCTATTCTGTAGAGAAAATAGCATAAAGTAACATGAAAAAGTTACACTTTTTAACTTAATCCAGCTTCTCATTTTTCTGACGTCCTGTCAAAATTCTCTTCACTCGCAAAGAATGGGAATCTGGAGCACCAGGAGAAGCATTTTAAAACGGTACACGTACGTACGATAGTTTCTGCACTTAACATGCTGCAAAAGTGCATCCCATCTACCATCTAAGGTAGGCAGCGATTTCCTTTCCACAAACTCACAAACTAGTGTTGGGGGGAAGAGCGGCCTTTCTCTTCCTCCGCGTGTTCGTTAATTTCGGATGATGAGGATGTTGGTTATCCAAATACAGGCTGGAGTCAATGAGCAGTTCCTTCGAAGGGTTTAATTTATTTTTCTGCAGTTTATGAATCGATTCGGGCTCCTGAGGGTTTCAGATTTCAGTCAGGAAGCCCAGAAGAAACACGGTCATGAGATTACATAGAGACAATATGATAATGAGAGGCAGGGAGTTGCGCCTCCATGCAAATCCCAGAAACAAAGAAAGTAACATGTCATCTGACCCCGTGTGGCTGGAAGAAGTTGGGAATGGTGAGGTGAGACCAGACCACCACTACCCACCATTTGGTGTGATGGCAGGAACACAGATACTTGAGATAACAGTTCCTCTTTTGATGTTAAACATGTCCTATGGAGGGGGGCCCTAAAATTGGTGGGGGTCGAGGGGCACTGAAGGTGATTGTAAACACAGTGAGCAGGAAATACCTCCAACAACATTCTACATTCTTTGTTTCTTTCAAATCCAAGTAACAGAGAGAAATAATACCTTAACAATCCCTCTCTTGATCACAATTAATATTGTGATCACGAAATCATCTGCGTCAAAATCTCATCAAAATCTATCTTGCGCAAAGCACAAGCACTGTCAAACAAATTACAACAGGAAATAGTCTTAACGAAGCCTGATGCCAATCCCCACATCAGTAGAGGAACGGAGACCAAAATGACCAGTTTAATCAGAAAGATATATGTTATTAGCTCTGGGCCGCCTGATAACTTTGTCTTGGTTTCACATCCAGTGTCCCTCCGAATGTCACTTTGAAGTTGGAGATGTTTCTCGGGTAAAAAGGTTAACTTGCAGGCATGAGGAGAAGAAGCCGGGTCTGCGCGTTCCCTTGCTGGCATGGGAAAGTTATGCAGCATGTCCAAACATGGGCAGAATACACACTTCACATGTTAGGGGCTGTTATGGCTGTTGCTAATCATGGCATGTATATGTGCATGCATATGCGCGCATCTCCATGGTTGCGCGTGCGTGTGTGTATGCGTGCACGTGCGGTAACGGGTGGACAGCGGGAGGTTGGTTGCTTGAAAAGTAGATCTTCGGTTGAAAAAGGTTGGGCACCCCTGCCCTACGCCATCACAGCGGCTGACGAAGGAAGTTTAGCAGGTTAGCTCAGCACTAGCTCGCAGCTCATACTACAAGCGAATGAATTTAAATTTAGACCAAAAGGATGAGCGCGTCAGAAAATGGATGGATTGATGGTTAGAAGAACACCTGCGTACTGTTTTGAGAAATACAAGAACAGACACAAAGATGGCAACACCAGATATTTGTCAAATTTTACAATATGGCTCCGTTTCCCCATTAATACATCAGAATGGGCCGTCGGAGGTATCCTTTAAATTTTCAAATTCTTAAAAATGTGCTTTTAATGGCAAAGATAAAATGTGGGACTTGCACTCAGTGTTGCATCAAAACACCAACAATTATGATGCAGCAATCAAAAAAGACAAAAGTCATTTTCCAGACAGACACTTTTCTGAACCTTTCCCTTTTTGCTTTGTTGTTGTTTTTACAGCGCATTCTACATCTCAATATGTAGCAACATCTAGTTCCTGCAGAAACAGGTGTTTTGAGCTGGTTGAGATGGAACCACCAAACTGTCGTTGTGACAATCTTTGTAAGACCTACAATAGCTGTTGCTCTGACTTTGACCGTCTCTGCCTCAAAACAGGTAATGAATGATTCTTGTCATTTCCTGCCCAAATGTATAATTAGTAGACTGAATATTGACATGGCATTTAACCCTTTTTTAAAAAAATTATCATGCTAGTTGTCGTAATTCTAAATTGATTACCGGTACCGGTTGATTACTTGAGGCACTCACCTGTACCCTGTGCATTGTATAAATAACTGTAATCTCATTCCTGCAGTTGTTTTGTGGTTTTTATTCCTTTGTAATGAAAATTAACACTTTTTTTTTGTGTGTGTATAATGGAACATTTCAAATGTACTTTAACATTTGTGTGTGTGTGTGTGTGTGTGTGTGTGTGTGTGTGTTGTGTGTGTGTGTGTGTGTGTGTGTATAAATAAATAAATATATACAGGTATATGTAGTGTGTGTGTATATATATATATATATATATAAAACACAACTTGGTTTGCCAGGACTGAATGCTTGTTTCACAGTTTTTTTCGTTGGCAGTAAAGATTGTACGTGACGTTTTAAACAGCTAAAATAAGGGGGAAAAAACTCATGTTGAGCATCCAAATGCAGGCCCCTAATCTAGTTATGTGTGAATCACACTTGTGGGAGTTCCCAAATGAGCTTTCTACAATGACGGCATCACTGCAAGACTAATTATTACACACTGTCATTGCCCATGCTCATGACTTGGTTGAGGTTACTGAGGTTTCATGACTTCAGTACTTGCCTCAAGACTCAAATTCTTGACACATTTACCCGTTCGCCACCTCACCTATGACAAGCTAAAATGGGAAGGGGAGAGCTAAATATTTCTCACGTTCGCCATGTTGGCGAGTGGCCTATATTTTGCAATCCATGCACATTTTGTGATCAGCTATAATTGATTTTGATTTGTATTTTACAACCGCAGTGTTTGCCACCTAGAAACTGGGTTCAGATGGAACCTTGTGTTCTGATCAGAATGAAACAGAATGAAAATGCTCCATGTAAACACCTCAATCAAAATAAACAGGCCGAATCTAAATGGACTGTCACTCTGATTCACGGGTGTGGTATATTATATTACTTTTATTGTGAACCGAACAGACATGTAAATTGTTCAATTGGAATAGCCAGGCTATGTCCAGTCTGCGCACTCTGTTTTGACGTAAAAGCATTGTGACATCGACGTTTATGCACTTGAAAACGGTGGCTTCCTGCCAGAGCTCATTTAGGATGGGAGAGCATGTTTTAAACTATTTGTAACTTGATGATATTGAGCTATTGCCTGAATAACATTGTAAAGTATAAAAAAAATAAAAATAAAAAAATAAAAATCACATCTACTTTACTCCATTGACAAATCAACTACATCTTAATGAATTGCGTGATGTTACTTCGATCAGCCTGTGTCACACAGGCGCAAAACAGCTGTTCTGTTGACTGTTAGTGACACGTGTAATGGGCAGATCATAATAGATCATGTCATATGAAAACAGTTGACCCTCCATCCATCCGTCCATCCACCCATTTTCTGTCGCTTCTCCTGGGTTGGGTGCAGCAGTTTTAGCAGGGTCGCCAGTACTTCCCTCTCTGCCTGGTCTCTTCTTCCAACTCTTCCGGGCGCATTCCACTGGCCTCTTGCCAGTGAGATATGCCCGGAACGCCTCATCACTCCAGCAGGCATCATGGCCAATTAGTCACTGTCACAGCGGCTGATTTTGTTGTCCTTGAGTGTATTTTCGCTTGGAAACACCACATACAGTCATCAGGATCTTTTGGATTACGCTAGGAAAATACTATTATAGGAAGTGAACCTGCCACGAGCAAGCTGATATATTAAAGCATATTTCAGAGAGCGTGACTCTGTTAACTCAATTGTATTTTTCCACAGTCATACGGTTTTAAAGTTGTGTTAATTATGTTTGCGAAACAGACTAAGCTAAAAATAAATGAAAACTGTCACTTAATGTGACTCACTGTGGTATGCCAACATGTCTTCATTCTGCCGTGCAGGAGTTCAGACTCTTCTTCATTAAACATTTTTCAAAAGGTTCCAACTTCAGTAAAACAATTTTCTTTTGCATGTTTTGAAATCAGCTACATTGTTACTAAAAATCAAGTTCTGCTCGTTTGTTAAGACATATGTTTTATATTCAAATCACATTTCCCCTCCTTTCCTTCCTTGGGGCATTGCAAAGATTGGTAAACATTAAAATTAACAGTAGACAAATACAATAAATATACACGTTATTTAAATATTGCTCCATCCTGTAATCCATCTGTGAAGATTATTGGGTTTTTTTTCTTTCTTTTTTAAAAACTCTCCATCTCGGGGTTGTCCATAAAAGTGATGACTGTTTAGCAATGTAATAATGCCTAGTCCCACCTACTGTCTAGCAGTAGTGATGCATGTATCTAGGCAGTACATCAGTATTAGTCTTTTGATGAGTAGTCTCTTTTTATTACAAGCAGATGGTGGCTATGAGTGCAGTAAAGATCGTTGTGGGGAGATACGAAATGAAAACCATTCCTGCCACTGCTCAAATGACTGTCTAGCCCGAGGAGACTGCTGCACCAACTACAAGACACGCTGCAAAGGTAAAAAAATATGAACAATTTTGTGTATACAGGTAATGCCATAAATTATATAGTTTATTTCAGTCCGATGTAATTCTTTACACAGTACAAACTGATAGCATAACTGTGCACGCACACTGTAAAAGCATAATGTGTACACACACATATATATATATATATATATATATATATATATATATATACACACACACACACACACACACACACACACACACGACTGCAATATTCTATAACACGCTCCCTATGTTCTCTCTCTACTCACCTTCCTTACATCCACCCACACTCCTAGTTTATAAAACTGTCAACCTCTTCATTCCCATTCCCAGCTCTACGCTTTTGGTCGATCTTTTCAATTTCTGCCCCGACTGAAACTTTCTGCAACAAATAATAAAAGTCACCTCATTCATCCCCAAACGGATGGCTGAAGTGTTAGTGGGGGAAATTGTACTTCAGTGCTGCACCTGTTTTGAGCTAGGTATCACCCTTTTATTTAACATTTGTTGTGATGTAATATAATGTACCATGTAAATATGTCACTATGTCATATTATACAGTGTAATTACGTTTTTGCGGGGTTTTTTTGTTTGTTTTTTTTTTACTCTGGTGTCGACAGCCAGGTCACCATAGCAAATGAAAATCAGTTCTCAATTACTTGGATAAATATAAATTAAATAAAAGAAATATAAAACTCTATGCCTTTGGTACTATTTTCCTTTTACCCAAAGGCCTGCATGAAGAATCCTGTTGTGACACCAGTGCAACTTGAGGATGCTTCACTTTTTCATTGCAGTCAGTAGCATGTTTTGTCTTGTCATATGTATTTGGTTTTAAACAAGGCAACCGTCTCTTTACAAATTAGACAAAGACAATTGCCTCAACTTTCAGTGAAGCGGTGTTGTGATTCCCAGTGCTCCTCAAAGCGGCGGCTGTCTCTGGCGACGTTTCTCTTTTTCTTTGCAGTTGCCATCGCTGAAAGGAGTTGAAGGGTTTTTGCATCGAGATGAAGGGCCAGAAAACATTAGAATGTTACTGCCTCTGTGTGGTGAAAGAAGGAATCACACCGTTTTAAGTTTTATGATTTATTTATTCTGACAGAACTCGTGAGCCATAAATAAAACATTAAAAGAAACCCCCCCTGAGCTGGCCCCATATTGTGGTGGAGGGATTTGCGTGTCACAATGATCCTAAGTTGTCTGGTGCTTCAAGCCCCTCGCCGGGTCACCCAAGCCAAATAGGTCCTTGATGAGGGACCAGACAAAGGACAGTTCACAGTCGTCCATTGACGAGCAATAAATATGGATCTCAGTTTCCCTTGCCAGAATATGGGTCACCGGGTTCCCCTTTCTGGTGCCAGGATTAAAGGAGCTCGGTGGTGAGCGCCTGGTGTCTGGGCACAGCCCAAAGACACAACGTGGGTCCCCATTCCTATGGGCTCACTACCTGTGTGAAAGGCCAATGGGGTCAGGTGCAAGGTGACCTGGGTGGTGGCATGAGGCAATCGACTGTGGCGGTCCAATCTCTGACTATGGAAGCTGGCTTTAGGGATGCGGAATAACATCTCTTTGGCAGGGAAGGAGCCTGAACTGGTGTGCAAGTTTGAGAAATCTCCGACTAGATATAGTTCGGCTTCCCTCCACACACAGCTTGGGCTCTCGTATCAGTCCTCTTGAGAGGGGTTGGACTGTCTTCCATTTTGCCCACCATGAGAGGTGCAAAGCAGTTGTGGTTTTACTTATTGCCCCCCAGCCCGGTCTCTGTACATTGGGATTTATGCCAGTGGAGGTGAGGCTAGCCTCACTTCCCTTTTTGGAGAGTGGACGAGTCTTGTTTGTGCTGATGCACTAAACCGCGGTTCAGTGTTGATCAAGTGACTATCGTGGCATCAATCCCCAAACCCGTTGGTGGCCACGGGTAATTGGTGATGCTGTGAAGTTGAAGACGGAGTCCATTTGGGCTTTGTGGACTATGGAACTCTGGAAGCAATTGAATGGCATATCTGAATCTCGCTTATGATTCACATTTGGGCTCAAAATACAAAGCAAAATATCTTGATCGAGCGACAAACTTCCACGTCAGTGTACTATTATGTGTGTTTTTCAAGTATCAAATATGCATCATGTAACACCACTTGCCCATAATTTATATTGTATGCCTTTTCGATTGTATTGTAAAAATCTGTACACCAGCTATAGCATTTTGCATTTTGTCATATATATAGTTTTAATCTGAGGTTGTATTTTAAGACTTTTTACGATACTTTTCCTGATGTCAAAACTGAATAACTATAGAAACACTTTTTCTGTTTTAGAATTGATTTACCAACTACACCGGGGTGTCAAACTCATTTTTGTCCTGAGCCACATTTTAATTACCGTTTCCCTTGGAAGGCCGTTATGACTTAAACCATATAAAATAGTCAAGATGGTTTATTCAACTAAGTTATTGTAATAAGGGTTTTGATAAGAGGAAAATGCTTACACTATCTCTATTATTTATCCCATATGAGAATTTTAAATGTTGGTAGAGATTTAAGCAAGCATCATGGAAGTAGACATGTTTGATTTGCTCTCGCTGGCCACATAAAATGATGTGGCGGGCCAGATCTGGCCCCTGGGTCTTGAATTTGACACCTTGTACTACAATATGTTAACAATTTTACCCAGAGCCACTCAGTGTTAATTGGAGTGTGTTAGTCTGTCTGTCCTTTGATTGTTTTGTTTTTTTTTGTTTGTTTGTTTTCAGGAGACAGTTCATGGCTACAGGATGAGTGTGAAGACATGAAGACTGCCGAATGCCCTGCAGGGTATGCTTTTATTAGCACTGAACAAATCAAAAGTCTCATTCAGTTTCAGTATGTCACTTATGTCTATACGTAAAAAATGTTTATCCTGAATAGGACCAACACATAGGTTTGCTTTAATTTTTTTATCCATATGACATCTAATGAATGTTTTTACTGTGCTTATAGATTTGTGCGCGCACCACTCATAATTCTTTCAGTGGATGGTTTCCGAGCTTCTTACATGAAGAGAGGCAATACTGTCATACCTAACATTGAGAAGCTGAGTAAGGCATGAATGGGGTTGATGAGATTCTTTTTCATTTTTAGCATTACCTTGGTCCAGTAAAGAAACAAAAAACATTTTGATATTTTTCTATAAATCATGATTAATATCGTGAAGATATTTTTCTCTCTCTCTCTCTCTCTCTCTCTCTCTCTCTCTCTCTCTCTCTCTCTCTCTCTCTCTCTCTTCCTTTCCCAGGAAAATGTGGAACCCATGCACCATTTATGCGACCTGTGTACCCTTCCAAAACCTTCCCCAATCTCTACTCACTGGCTACGGTATAGGTCACCTTTTTTTAAGATGCGCTTTGACACAACCTCCTGTTGTGATCGCTGTCAATAACTCACAACTTCCACAGGAACATCACTAACCCTGATTGACCAGGGGACAGCTGGAGAGGCCTTCAACTCACACATCACCACATTATTATAATAGTCCTCCATCCATCCATTTTCCAAATTGCTAATTCAATGCAGGTTGAAGTGTATCCTAGCTGACTGTGGGTGAGTTGGTGTCAACTTTGGACAGTCAATAATTTAAAGACCTAAAATTTAGAGTCTGCATGCAAACCTGTAAATTCCAAAAGGCACGAGAAGACCATGTCAACAAATTTTTGAGCATCAGGTTTTTAATTTATACTGTTAGCCAATGATAATTTGTGCATCCAACAACAACACTGCATCTCTGCTTAGGTGGTTAGGCACTCCAAAGATCCAACACTGTGTACAGATATTAAAAAGTAAAATGTCAATATGTTACTTATATATACACACACACATGTGTCCACACACGCATGGAGCCCCTCTAATGAGATAATGCATCTCAAGGGGATATCCTTGAAATAAATACATACATAACAATTGCAATTTGAATAAATCTCTGCAGCACACCTGAAGTTACACAGCACACGGTACTTCAGCCCATTGGCTGGGAATCGGTAAACTAGATGAGGAAAAGAGATGCCGATGTAAACGATTCTGAGTTGAATAATATACATGACAATAATCAATTACTGAATAACACAGTAATGGGAAAATGAAGGAAGCGGAATTCAAAACCATGCAAGTTAGTCAGAATATCCGTTGTGCACATAACTTGCGCCAACTCAATACGCCTTCTGACTGAGTAACCTTTGCATTAATTTTGAAAGTATGAACTCTTATATGACTGAGACATGTCACATAGATCCCTTGCTCTTGGTGTGGAGCCAATGGTGTGTGTGCAGCTCCTTGTCTGAGCTACTCTTGCTAGCACAAGACACACAGTACAGTCTGTCAGTCACATCAGAAGATGAAAAATAGGAGCCAGCCAAAATAGTAATTATGTACATTTATCTCGAGTTTGATCTGTGTGCCTGTAGCTCTGAGGACTGTGGCCATCTCACTCAGTGAGTTACTTCATCCTACATTAAATTATACCAAAGGTTGAATCAAGTCATGTCATCTTGCATTATGCTGCCAAAGACCTGACTTGCAAGTAATGTCTAAAGATACATTTTCATAATGCTTTTTAATGCTTAATTCCATCCGCAGTGAGTCGTTTCCTCACCCCTTTCACCATCCCTTAATCCATTTTCTCACCCAACCCAACTAGGATGGGGAGAAGGTCACCCCGAGAGAGTGTTTTCTCTGAAACATTCCTTTCTCAGACTCGACTTTTTCCTTGCCCCTCTGGACCTGAATTTCAACATTGAATTGCTGTAAGATGTTGTTATGAGTTAATATAAAGTACGATTTTTTTTAAAATTTGCAGATCCGATCAAAGTCGGGGGTCGTGGGCATGGGTGTGGATGATAGGGTATGCAAGAGTGAACTCAATCACAAATTTAGCGCTAAACAATCTTTCTGACTTTTAGGGTCTCTATCCAGAATCTCACGGTATAGTTGGTAACTCCATGTATGACCCTGTCTTTGATGCCACGTTCACCCTGAGAAGCCGAGAGAAACTCAATCACCGCTGGTGGGGTGGACAACCAGTTAGTATTGTCCTGACATATTCTAGTACTAATCTATCATAAACCGTGACTTGTCTTAGTTCCACTAATGTGATATGCCCACATTTATCAGCAAAATGATTCTGTTTCTCTCGTAGATCTGGATCACAGCTCTCAAACAAGGAGTCAAGGCATCCTCCTTCTTCTGGCCCGTGTAAGTTGTTTTTCTTGTAACGGACTGAAAAATGCATTACGAACCTTCACCTGAGCATTATGCTTTTTCACAGCATGCTTAGATCCGATCAAAGTCGGGGGTCGTGGGCATGGGTGTGGATGATAGGGTATGCAAGAGTGAACTCAATCACAAATTTAGCGCTAAACAATCTTTCTGACTTTTAGGGTCTCTATCCAGAATCTCACGGTATAGTTGGTAACTCCATGTATGACCCTGTCTTTGATGCCACGTTCACCCTGAGAAGCCGAGAGAAACTCAATCACCGCTGGTGGGGTGGACAACCAGTTAGTATTGTCCTGACATATTCTAGTACTAATCTATCATAAACCGTGACTTGTCTTAGTTCCACTAATGTGATATGCCCACATTTATCAGCAAAATGATTCTGTTTCTCTCGTAGATCTGGATCACAGCTCTCAAACAAGGAGTCAAGGCATCCTCCTTCTTCTGGCCCGTGTAAGTTGTTTTTCTTGTAACGGACTGAAAAATGCATTACGAACCTTCACCTGAGCATTATGCTTTTTCACAGCATGCTTTAGGGACGTCTTGTTTTACCATTCTTTTCTACCATCCTGTAATCCTTGATTTCGCTCACTTTTCTGTTTATCACGGGAGATAGATTTCAGACCCACCCCAAGGTAAAAATGTAGTTAGTTCGTCCGTTAGGTAGTTTTACCCCGCATACACACTTTAAACATTTATATTGATTAAAATGCACGTCAACTTATTCAAACACACTTACATAAATGTGTTGTAAATGTATTTGGACAAGAAATGAATCGCAAGAATATAATGTGTAGACAATATCGTAGTTGCGTGTTGCAGTGTTTGTTCAGGCATGCAGGTTCTGGTAGAGTAGTGTGGCATGTGACGTCCAAGTCTGTGTGTCTCCTTGTGGATGGCAGTAGCTTTTGCGTTATCTGGGACTGTGGCTATCCTTTCCCGCATGTGAGCATTTATATTGTAAAGACACCGAAAAAAAAAAAACAGTGGGATGCGATCCGTGAACAGTGACACAGTGGGCAGAAATTAGAGCATTCAACCGATGTCTCACTAATAAGTCATCTGTAAAATATTGATTCAGAAGATAGACAAGCGATGCCCCTAGTGTAATATATATATATATATATATATATATATATATGTGTGTGTGTGTGTATTGTTTAAATGACAATATGAAACTAAAGTGAGAATGCTTATAGACGTAATTTGTAAATTGTTCATTTACAGCACGATCCCACTGGAACGGCGGATACTGGCCATGTTGCAGTGGCTCCAGCTCCCTGAAGTAGAGAGGTGAAGTTTCTTTCTTTGTCTTATCCTTTTTTTTTCCACTACTTGAATTTTTAATCGTGTTTAATCTGTATAAAGATGGAAGACAGCCATTTCCAAAGTCCCTCAAGTAGGCCGATAAGACCCATTCCATTTTTTAGGCATGGCTTATTCTGAAAACCATTGAAATACTACCTCGATCAGAATATTAAAGTTTTTGTCGCTCTATCTTTCAGTACTGCATTGACAATGAAGGAGCAGTCACTTGTAGGAGAGTGAGCATGATACAAAAAAAGAGGGCAGTAAGCAAGTTTCTGCAGGAGTTGGAAATGTGTTATTTTATCACTGAAGACAAGATGAAATGTGCTTGTCTTGTTGGCAGAAGCAGTTGAATTTATGAACACATTTAATGTTCAAAGACACTTTGAAACCGTCCTACACTTTTTCGGCCTGAGACAAACATGCTCAGACAATGTCTGCTCGCTCAGTGAATACATTTATTCTGTTTCTGTATTCTGTTGTTCTCCATCCATTTTCTACATCACTCATCCTCATTTCAGCCTGAATCCAGGCAACAGCCAAACATAGACAACCACTCACATTCACACCTAAGCAAAATTTTGTCAAGCTAACGTGCATTTTTTGGAGATATGGGAGGTAACCGGATTGCCTGCAGAAAACTCCCACTAGTACAGGGAGCATATGGAAACTCTACATAGGAAGGCTGGAGCCCAGCGAATTCAAATATATATGGCAGCCCGGTGATCGACTGAGTAACATGCCCGCCTCACAGTGCAGAGGTGTAAGGTTCGATTACGGAAAAGGCCTTCTTCCTGTGTGGAGTTTGCATGTTTTCCCCGTGCCTGCATGGGTTTTCTCCACGTACTCCAGTTTATTCCCACGTTCCAAAAACATGAGACAAATAAAGGTTTTCTTATCTTTTATCTATCTATCTATCTATCTATCTATCTATCTATCTATCTATCTATCTGTATACTGTATATATACACACATACACACACACACACACTGTAACAGAATTAACGAAGGTGGAAAAGCACCTGTGTTTGTTGTTGTTTTTTTTTTTCATTCATTTATTCATTCAAAAGCACTTGTGAGTACCTTCAAGGTAGAAAAGTGCAATTTACCAATTATCAATTGCATTTCACTGATCAGGAGGCGTTGTGATAAATGTTCATGATTTACTTGAACCCACTTCTCAGTTAAGGGCACTTTCTCCTTTCCATTTCGCCTGACTGATATGTATTTTCAAATATTCACCTAATCACATCATAGTCTAAATCAGGGGTGTCAAACTCATTTCACATGGTGGGCCACATACGGCCTCGGTAGATGTCAAGTGGGCCGGACCATTAAAATGATACAATACTTTGCTATAAATAACCAAAACAATATGTCTTTCCTTTGTTTTGGTATAAAGAAGCACAAGAACATTAGGAAAATGTTGAAATTTAATGAACATATCTTTTACAAAACATTTCATGAAGCACCTTACATTTCCTTCGACAAATGTGCAATTTACTTTTATCATTCACATATATGCATTGCAACTGATCCCACTGATTGTACAAACTTTAACAAGTAATTGGTATTGAAAAATATAGTAATGCACTTTAAGATTAAACAAGATTCATAAAGAAAGCAAGTTTTAAAGCATTTACACGTGCATATAAAATCTAAATGTAATCCCTGCCTACACCTTACAAACTAAGGAGAGTGCTATTAAATGTGTAAATGTGAGAGTGCTATTGATAGCGTCTGCTGTCATGGGTCTGTCTCAGTGACAGACTGAGGCTGCTGTTGTCTTCTTCTCTGATCAAAACAGTGTCCCCTTGCGGATACTCAATGAATTGCACCTGATTAAAAATATTAATTCTGTGTCTTTAATGCATTTTTTTCACTTTTACATTATCCTGCGGGCCTGATTGAACCTACTTGCGGGCCGGTTCCGGCCCGCGGGCCGTATGTTTGACACCCCTGGTCTAAATGTTTCCTCTTGTCCTAGACCCTACGTTTATGCTATGCACTTTGAGCAGCCAGACATATATGGACATAAAATGGGACCCAATAGCATCGAAGTGAGTATCTTTGTTTTTTGTTTGTTTTTTTGTTATTTTTTTACCAGCACAGTTTCAAACTCATGAAAATAATGTGATAATGACTCTTTTTGTGTGTTCCAGTTGAATTATCCTCTTAGGTTGATTGATAGGATCGTAGGTCAACTCATGAATGGACTTAAGCAGATGAAATTGCACCGATGTGTCAACATCATCATAGTTGGGGATCACGGTATTAGCATACTACACCGCAAGTACAAACAATTAATGGGAGAGCTACATTTATTTGAAATGTTGTATTATTACATGAATGTTACGTTTAAGGTTAATAGTAACCCTAATTAAATTCATGAAGAGATACATATGAAAGTGTTTTTACAATCATGTCCTATTTTTAAGTCCACAAATTCCTACTCCTCTTTATCTTCTCAGGTATGGAAGAGGCCCATTGTGGCCAAACGGAGTTTCTCAGCAATTACTTGACCAATGTTGATGATATCATTCTTATTCCTGGATCCTTAGGCAGAATACGCCCGAGATTCCTCAACAACCCAAAATGTGAGAAACAAAGATTCATACTTTTTTTTTTTTTTTTTATAAAGCTGAAAACTAAAACAACCAACAAATTACAATATCGTGTTCATTCATACTGCTGCTTGAAAAATATGGATAGGTGTATCGTTGTTTTGAGACACAGAATGCTGTCGCAGTATTGCCTGCAGTCTGTAGGTTTGGGAACACTGAGTGCACATGGTTGGGCGGAAAAAAAAGTGAAAGTCGTGTTTTCCCAAGTATAATTTAATTATACAGTTTAGCTGCCTGTAGTGAAGGAATTGATCTCTGCCGATACTGAATTCCTTGGTCAGCATGATGATTGTTATTAAATGTTTATCTTGAAACAGATGATGACGGTATGGGAAACTCTTCTGATGCCATGGGGAAGGTGTGAGGTCATGAGGACTGTTAAATCTTTAGTAGCATCAAATGTCAGGCGGGGAGGGTGCTGCTGAACCGTGATTGATTGATGTCTCATGTGTAGTTGTGAGACTGTTTCATGTCAGTTATTGATAGGACCTTTATCCATTGCCTCTTTGAAGGTAGCAAACGTAAAACTGGGGCATTGCAGAAACATCAAGTCGCCTCAGGAACATAAACACTGACGGCTTGGCCATTGCTTGTGCTCTGTGTTCTCTGTGTTTTCGTCTGTTCATGTGGTCCCTTTAGAATTCGGTGACTGTGACTGTGACGTAATCTTTCTATGTTAATGTATTGTATGAATGACATTCAATTACATTGAGTGATGTTTGCAAGTAAAATACAAAATAAAATGGTTAGTAGTGCAAAGTCCAGGTCGGACATCAGCGCTTTTGCTAAATGTATAATTTAATTGCATATGAGGCGTCTTGACGGCATCTTTGTTTTCTTTCATCCACCTTTTTGTGTTAGTTTCAAGCTTATTCATGGTTGTTAACATGTGAAAGTTATTAAAGGAGCAAGAGCGTTCATCTTTCCTGGTTCATGGCTGATCATCTTGTGAACAACACATTGAGAGGGCAGGACAATGCTATCTGGAGCATATTCCTTGTGTTTAGCAGAGGAGTCACAAAAACCAGTTTGAACCGGAAAATGATTATTTTTTTATTTAAAAGATGCAGGTGTAATTTCTCTACTTTTGTTTGGTTGCTACTTTGCTATATGTCAGTGTAGCAACTGTTAACATTTGAGCAAAATGTTCCCAAAAATTCAAAATGGTACTTGACCACATAGGTTATATTGGAATAACCTTACTGACAATATACCTTGGTTTTCTGTACCAAGGGTACGGTGGCTGACAGGGCAAATTATCCATGTTTCAGAGACAGAGCTTGATTTCTCCTCTTTTTAGTCAAAAATCAGCATTTTTAACTAACCTATTTTCTCTTGGTGATTACTAAAGAATAGAAAAGCTTAAAAGAAAACTTTTTTTCTGGTGAAAAAATGAAAGTATGTTCTTTCTTTTGGTCGGTCCAGTGCTCACATTGTGACAGAGCACACACAATTGTGTCGGTGTTGAAAGATCAGTCAAAATGCTCTAAAATGTGTCAGCCAATATAGGGGAGGAACTCTGTTATAAACTCCGCTAGTCATGAATGAGTTAAGGGCCGTATTCTAAATGAACTTCATTTGACTACTGCTCTCACTTTTTTTCAGATAACCCCAGGGCAATTGTTGCAAATCTAACTGTAAGTATCGTCATTTGTTTTAATTCCCAGGATCAGAAAATATACGGTCACACTCCTTGTCAACCCTTTTTTGTAGTGTAAGAAACCAGACCAGCATTTTAGGCCTTATTTAAAGCAGAATCTGCCAAAGAGACTACACTACGCTAATAACCGACGGATTGAGGATGTACATCTACTGGTGGACAGGAAATGGCACATTGCCAGGTGATATTTAACATTTTTACTACACCCTCTTTCAATTCTTTCAGGTTTCATGCCCATCTATCTTTTTTTTTTCCACGTAGTGGGGGCCTAAGCAGATAAGCACAGACGGGGGGGTCATCTACTGTTTCTAGGACAGCCTGGAGACAAAGGCTTTGTCTACACGTAGCCCGCTATATATGCAAACGGGAGGTATTTTTTCTGCGGTTTGTCCTATCATCCACACATCCCTGGAGATTTTTTAAATTAAAAACAAAGGTTTCTGAAAACTCCGGTCAAAGTGGAGATATGCGGATATCTCCGGATCCGCGTTTGGCTGTGGACAGTTGTAACCGAAGATTTCTGTACGTTAGGACCACCGTCAGTCAGTCTGTTATCGGCAGTTGGTCACTCTGTCATGCGCCTCTGGCACAAACGGCACTTGTGTCCCTGCAGCACAAACTGTTTCCATGGTGCCTCTTTTCTTTTTATTTCACCTCCCCAACAATCGTACGAACATCTGACACGTGCACTCCCAGCTCCGCACTCACACACACATGACATCACAGAAAAGCATATTTTTGATTTCGAGATAATAATTAGTTGTTAGGAAAGTTAGAGAAAGGTGCCTCATACACATTTCTTCCCGCACACCAGCACTTACGCAGTTGGCTGTGGATGCATGTGGATTTTTTTTTCGACACAAAGAGGGGCAAATATATATAGATTTTTTAAAGCCCAGCTGTGTGGAGATAAGGCCATAGTCTCTCCAGTGTGTCCTTGCTTTTGGTGGCGTATTTATCATTACGTTAGCAGTAAGACATTCAAGAAAATGGTTAAAAAAAAGAAAACAACAACATCAAAGCAGCATTTTTTTTCACCTATATTTTGCCATAAATAACATTATTTCCTGCTGCAGTAATCCTGCAGTTTAGAGTGTGTATTAGCAACTGCAAAGAGTACCAATGAAATTATAACGTGCCATGCAAAAAAAGTAATTTTAATTAAGGCATATACTGAAATATATTTATATTTTAAACACGTTCATAATGGTTTAAACAAACAAAGACTGTTTTCAACAAAAGAATAACACACAAAAAAAGACATTTGTGGAATTTAAAATTTAATTGTCTTACGCTTCCTTGTAGAAGAAATCTGTTAAGTCCTCTTTTTCTTCAATCAGGTTCAAACGTCTCTCCGGTTAAATAGAGATGATTACCAGAAAAGAAAATTCAGCTATTCGGAATTATTGTTCCTGTCACAGTGAGCAAAAGCTGGGCTAACATATTCCCATCTGTTTTAGTCTATAACAGTGGTCACCAACATGATGCTTGCGGGCACCAGATAGCCACGAAGGACCATGTGAGCAGCCATCAAGCCTGTTCTAAAAATTTTCGAAGGATGTTGTAGATGTGATCATTTGAAAATATATTCATTGGTAGACATTTATACATGTGTTGGCATGCTTTGTTTCCTACTTATTTTGAGAAATTATTAACATGAACAGTGTCTTAACATAAATTAATTGCAATACGTATTAAAAACAACAATTCAATTGTTAACTTGATGGTATTTATTATTTCAAAGATGTGTATCAAACTGTTAGCCCTTCGCATTAATTAGTACCTCAATTTAAAAAATTCCCTTCTGTTTGATTTGTATTTTTGTACAGCACTTTGTCTCAGCTGCAGCCAGCGGATGCTGCACACCGTGGAGGCAGAATCCTGTCTGCCTCACCTCGTGCTACATTTGCAGCTTTATGCAGTTGGCAAACTAAATATTGAACAAAAATATATGAGATACATTAGCCTGGAAATTTAAAATCAGAATGCACATTACAAGTGACTGAAAATATTGTATTGGAGACGTGAAGAAGCAGAACATTCATGTCACGATCGTTGTGCTACTGCATTTTAAACAATTGGTGGTGGTAGTTGTTATGTGCGGTCTCTGCGTTTACTGAAGGAGTGAGGTGAGGCTGGCTTTCTACTGCCTCCCTTCTTCTCTGGCCAATGTATTTAACCATGAAATCATTATTGGTAGTAAAAACATAAGATAATTCAAAAGGAAAGGAAATACAGTATGTTGTTGTCAGTTATTATTATTATTATTATTTTTTTTTTTAACCTTCTTGCAGGTGAGTCTCTGCCTCCACTGAACGCATGTCCCTGGTCAGTGCAACAATGATGGACATGATTTAATTCATAGCAAGATTGTAGCCATATACTGTATCTCGCAAACTCCACTACTAATGACATCACTAGTACCATATTTGTGCTTCAAAATAAACAAAGGTTGCCCAGCATGGGGCTGGAGCTAAAATGAGCTTCTGTCTATCATATGTAGACCTGTGGAAGGTGGGAGCAGTAAGCCAAAGTAATTTGTGATAACCTGGGTGTTTTTCTTCCTGCGTCTTCATGTGTTTAATTTTTGATTGATATGTCGTTGCAGTCATTGATATTGTTAATTTATAATGTTGTACTCTCGAACTAACAGAGCTAATTCTAACAAATCGAACTTTATTTTCTCATTTCAGGAAAGCACCTGAAGGGAAGAGGCTTTGTGGCTTCTTTGGTGACCATGGATATGACAATAAAATCAACAGTATGCAGGTACTTAAAAATATGTAACAACCGCATTGTACTTGTCAGTGATTTTAAAATAAACATGTTTCAACTCTCATTTCAGACAATATTTTTGGGATATGGGCCTTCCTTTAAATTCAAGACAAAAGTTCCAGTCTTTGAAAACATTGAGCTTTACAATGTTATGTGTGGTAAGATGTTTGTTTATTTATTTATTTTTTTGTTGGACGTCTAATTAAATGACAGTGAGTGAATGTGGGAAAGGGGAAACAACATTTAACTCAGTTTTATTCATATCACACTTTAAAACAGCTGCAGCTGAGGCAGTACATAAATACAAATCGAACATGAAAACAATTTAACTTAACATAATTTAACCTAAAGTTTAAAAAACTGATGCCAGGGAATAAAAATGGGTTTTGAGGTGTTTTTTGAAAAATATCTCTGTAAAAAAAAACACCTATAAAACAGGGCATTCGTTTGGATGAAAGAGGAGGAAAGTGCACGAGCAGTAATGATAAGAGTAATGCTTTTGTTTATTGTATTTATTATTATTGTTTAATATCATTTTCAGGGTTTGTTCTTCATAAGAATGATTCTCTCTTTAACTTGGGACTGAACGGTACAGATCCCTCTTGTATATTATCAGAGCTTATTGGAATCATAGTTATAAGGGCATGTACTAGGAGTGGTAAGTACACTTTACTGGATTTTGTTGACATTTTCAGAGACAACGGTCACTTTTGTTTGGAAGCTTTACCTTTCATTCATTTTATGTTCCCTGATGTTATGTTCTTGTTACATATTAATCACAGAGGGGATATTTTAGAGAATGTTTTGGTGTGCATTTGAAATATTTTATTACAATATATAATGGGCAAAGTCATCCCCAACATTTTTTCCTCTGAAAGTCTCACAAAAGCTGGAATTCTTGAACAAAAATGAATGTCGTTCAAACAAAGCCCCTGACAACTTAGCTCTGACGATGACATTCTATGCCTTGAGATCAAAACATAATGACCGTGACTATTTGTTTAAGACACAGAGGAGGTGCTGCAGGATTGTCTCAACGTCACCGATAGGTTTTCAAAGACGATGTTGTTATATTTTTATGAAAAGGAATATATTATATATTTTGTTTTTGTCAAGCCGTTTTTCTTTTAGCTGCAGTTATTTTTTAAAATGCTCTCGAATTAAAATTGAGTTGAGCTTCGCAGATCATGGAGACCCCTCCACCACAGTAAGGAGACGCCTCGAGGAAGGGCTCATACTTTTCTTTTCTCCTTCAAGTTAACGCTTAAAGCCTACCTTTTAATTACATTTCAGTTACTTTATTTGAAATCCATTGTGGTGATATATAAAGGCAAAATTATTCTCAATGGGATCTAGCTGTACATGTGAAGTTATCAAATAGCTCCTCTATACTATAACAATAATATAATAATGGAATGCCTGTATATTTGTCTCTTTAACTGACTTGTTTTTGCTTGGTTTTTTGTTTTTGCTTGCTTTCAGATCTTCTTGGTCTAACACCAGCACCCAATAATGGAACCCACGGCAGTCTGAACCACGTGCTAAGAAACCCTTTCTATAAGCCTACAATGCCAGAGGAAGTTTCAAAGCCAACCACTTCAGCTTACATTCATACAGGAACAGATGACCTTGGCTGCAATTGCAATTACAAGGTCTACTATAATGACATTGTTGCAGATCTTGGCCCAGGTTTCTTTACAGTTCATAGCTGACATGAAGTTATGCACTATACAGTGTCATAAATATGCAGTATCTCTATTACTAATCAAGACAGCAATGACACAGTTCAGTGCAGTTTTAAATATTTGAAACTCAAAAGTTTGAAATGTTGCTCATGGGAACTCATACATTAATTGACTTTAAAAAAAAAATTGATGTTGATTTGATTCGCCAAATATTCAGTGGAACCCACATACTAGAAGTTGGGCACCCAAATATTCCCAGATTTTTTGTGAGATTTCTCAATATTACAAATATTCATTTGTTTCCCAAAGCATTCTGATGGGCATCAGTTAAACTCAGGTTTTTGCTATTCGCGTGTCTATCCCCCAAGGATATCAGGGTCCACTCTGAATCATTTTAAAGAATCAAAGTCTTTCAAATACAGAACTACCTTTGATATGAATGATGAATTTCTACTGCTACAAGGAAAATGTATTTTCTGTGACTGTTTTTCTTTCTAACGACCTTACAGATTTTTTTTTCTGGAAACCACACAATACAGTATATACTCTCCAAATAAAAGAAAAAAACGTTTTCATGAAGGTCAGAAACATGGCGTGACATAAGAAAGCATTTTTATCACAGTGCAAGTAAGGTATTTGTTTCGGTGAAGGAAGTACTTGTTAACAATACCAGAAACAGCAGCCTTTGAGTGGGAGTGGAGGTTATTGGGATGCTGCACAGGTATAAATGAAAATTATTGAGATGTGGCACCTGATGACTTGTACTCTTAATCATGAAAAGAAGATGGTTTGCTGGAGTTAAACGGCATAAATTAATTCTGAAGAAATTGCGTTCGAAGGGTAGAGAGAAACACAATGGCGGCAAAAAATGGAGAAATAAATGCAGTGCATTGAGCAAGTTGACATAATTTACTGAATTAAAGGCAAAGTGATTTAAATTGATTTGTTTCTAAACACATTAAATATGGTCAAAAATAAGTGCCGAATCTGTGCAAATGCTGAGAACATTTTTTTTTGCTTTTGTGACCAAACTCACCATTTCAGTTGTCCAGATGTCTTGGGCAGGGATGAAACAAGCCCAAGCTCCACTGGTGTTCAGGCCAAGGATTGTCATGTCGTCAGCAAACTTAATGATGTTGGTGCCATCTTGGGAGGAGATGTTATGTTATGGATGAAGATGGTGTATATAAGAGGGCTGAGCACACACCCTTGTGGGATGCCCATGCTTACTGTCCTGGCGCCTGGCGTCCTGTTGCAAACTCTGACTTTCTGTGAGGAAATGCAACACCTGGTTGCAGAGAGTGGCGGGTGATAGTCTGAGGGGGAGCAGCTTCTCAGCCAGCCTGCCTGAGATGACCTTGTTGAATGCTGAGCTGTAGTCAATAAACAACATTCGAACTAAAGGGCCCTTTTTCAGAGTTGTGTGAGGGCACTATGATTGACTCTGTTGACAGCATTGTCAGTGGAGCAGTTCTGAAGCATAATGGAGGTCCAGTTTGTCATCTTGGTGTGTTGATAAACCTCAGTCACATCTGAGGCAAATGCAGCAGAGTGCATTGTGTATGAAACATAGCTCACAGTTCATCTGGGGGTTTTGATTTGGATAGATTTTGCCGCTTGGTGGTGACAATGTTTTGACACCTGTGCTGATCCGTGAAGACCGAGGCATACCGGTATTCCCTTAAGTCTCCAGAGCTGTCGTTACTCACGATGGTGGCATTAAACACATCCCAGTTTGTAGTAAAAAAAAAAAAAAAAACACTCCTAAAGTACAAGATCAGTTTCTTCATTCCAAACTTAAACAGTTGTTTAGTGGGGGTGGAGGTGTTGGAGGAGCTGCCTGTAGCTGGGTAGAAGAGCACAGGAATTTGGTCAGATTATATCAAGGCACATCTTTTTGTGCATCCTTGACATTATCAATTTGGCCCAATGTTGGCATCTTCACTTTTGGGAGAACAGTTGTGATGTTGCAGTATCTGATATCTCACAATGAAACACACACAGTGTCTGGGTGCGCAGTCTTATGTTTATCAATGGCGTAATGCAGTTGAGTGAACACTGTATGTTTGAAAACTATCTTTGAAAACTAAAAAAAAAAACAGCTAAAACGAAGCAGAACTTGCAAAGCTATGCCCATGGTTACAATGTTAAGAGAAATACCAGCACTAATTCTTGTAATTCCTGATATTCTAGCTTTCTATTTGCAAATATTGATCATACTGACCTATTGAGAGCTGCACACACCTATCACACTGTCTTAATTGTCACTGCACAAAAATGTTGCCACGTGTGTAATCGTCCATTGTGTAGTAGCTAACTCAATAAAGGACAGCGTGTGTCCAAAGAGGTAGAGAGAGAGAGCTTTTGTGAATGTTTATGTAGTATTCCAAGAGTGTGTAGCGGGCCATGCATCATGGCCCACAGGAAATTCTCCTGGTGCTCCAGATTAGCCACTACAGGCCTGATATCTTCGGCAATCTTTCCTTTATCATGACAGTGAAATTGGCCTATGTCTGCAATAGAAAATACATAGAGCGTTTCTGATTATGTTGATCACTGTCAAGAGACTTTTTTTTCCCCCCTCTTCATTCTTTTTGCAGTTTCGAGTAAAAAGACGGGACCAAAGGGGTTTGAAAGTGACCATTGCACGAGGCTATAATCTGGAGTCACTCTGGCTCTGTTTCTTACAGAACCAAGTGGAGGAGCTAAATCAGCGACTGAGGCAAGCTATTGATGGTCAGTGCAAACTGATGCAACAAATTATGCAATTACAGTCGACCCCTGCAATTTGCGGGGGATAAGGGCCGGGCTAGGTCGCACATAGTGAAAATCCGTGTATAATTGCCCGTTGAATTGCATTGGGGAGTATTTTTTTGTCAACCCCCACCCTCATCTTCAAAATAATGCTGAAAACATTCAATGTAGGATTTCCACAAGAAATGGGGAAAATTTGAGGGGGGGAAAATAGTCGCAATTTGCGAATCTGTGGGTGCCGAACCATAAGTATGCGGGGGTCGACTATACACACACTTTCTCATAATGTAGCATAAAACTGTCGTCAAACGTTTTACTGGTGCTGAAGTCAAAATGTGAGATGGTGACAAATCTTTAATCGTGCAACAAACCATAAACCAGATATCCAAATCATTCATCAAAATTGATCTTAGTATATGTTTTTATTTTACATTGCAGTTTGTCTGTTTCTGTACTGTATTCTTTTTTTTTCTTTTTTTTTTTTTTAATAGACAGTATGAAATTGCCTTATTATTGTCTATCTGCAGTCCAGTATCATACCAAGTATTCCAATAGGGACCACACTGACCTCTCTATTGCTGTAGTCTGATTTTCTTTTCTTTTTTTTTTTTTTTTTTTTTTAGACAATAGGAATATGCCACACGGTCGACCTGCAGTACGATACCATACAAAGTATTCCATTCTGCACCACACCGACTATGTCTGTGGCTACAACGAGGATCTCGCAATGCCTCTATGGACTTCATACACCATTAGCCGACAGGTACTGTACATCTTATTTATTTGCTACCCCCCCAATACAGTGAGTTTTGTCAAGACTTATTTCTTTTTGTTTCACATCATATCATTAAGTGTTTGGGCGGAGACTTTCTCAAATGATGTATTATTATTTATACAGTGATGTGAAATAGTATTCGCCCCCTTCCTGATTTCTGTGTTCTTTCCATATTTATAACATACAAAGGTTTCAGTTCATCAGACATTTTAATACCACACAGAGACTACCCAAGGAAACACAACATGCAATTTCTAAATGCCAGTGTAATTTATTTAGACACAAAAATCATTCAAAATTACCTGTCCCTATGTAAAAAAAAAAAAGGAATTGCTCCCCCACTTGTTAAATCACTATGTAACTGTGACTAACAACAGTTTTAGGAAAGCTGAGTTCATTTTTACAGGCAACACCGTAGTACCAAATTTGTTGAATCAAGAAATCACATGAATAGAATTTGTCAGACAAAGTGAAGCAGACTACAGAAATAAACGCAACATGCCACAATTCAAAGGAATTCAAGAAGAAATAAGAAACAGTTATTGAAATCTATCTGTCTGGAAAATGTTAAAAAGCCAATTCCAAGGTTCTGGGGCTCATTACTCATCCAGCAGGTTGCAAAAGAACCTAGTACAACACTCAAAGCATTTCAGACCTTGCAAGCTTCAGTTCAGGTCAGTATTCTTGACTACGATTTAAAAAAAAAAAAAAAAAAAAAAAAAAACACAGGTATCCATGAGAGAGTTCCCAGTTGAAAGCCACTGCTGTCCAAAAAGAACACAACACTCATCTCACATTTGCTAAAAGACATCTTGATGATTCTCAATACTTTGGGAAAATCATTCTCTCAACTTAACAATCAAAAATTACAATTTTTGGAAGACGTCTGTGGTAAAAATAGCACATTTGATAAAAAGAACATTATTCCAACAGTAAAATATGGTGTTGGCAGTGTGATGGTCTGCGGCTGCTTTACTTCCTCAAGACCAGGACAACTTGCTGTGATTTATGGGACAATGAATTCTGCTGTCCACCAGAAAATTCTGAAGGAGAATGTCCGACAATCAATTTCCGACCTGAAACCCAAGCGTTCTTGGATCAGGCAGCAGGACAATGATCCGAAACACACCAGCAAGTCCACCTCTGAATGACGTAAAAAAAATAAGAATAATTAATGTTTTGGAGTGGCCAAGTCAAAGTCTGGATTTGAATCCAATTGAGATGCTGTGGTGTGACCTTAAATGGGCAGTTCATGTTAGAAAATCTGTGAAGAAGAATGGGCCAAAATTCCTCCACAGCGATGTGAAAGACTGTTACCAATGATCGCAAACGCTTAATTTCAGTTATTGCTACCAAAGGTAGCACAGCCCATTATTAGGTTCGGGTTTACTTTTTCACATAAGGACAAGTAGGTTTGGATGTATTTATTTATTTATTTGTTTTTGTGTTTGTGTCTAAATAAATTACATTGGCATTTAGAAACTGCATTTAATGTGTACTTGGGTTGTCTCTGTGTGCTATTAAAATTGGTTTGATGAACTAAAATCTTTGTGTATGATAAATTTGCAAAGAACACAGAAATCAAGTAAATTCCTCCAGGTTGGCAACTCTGATTTGCTGTCCACTATGTGCACTATACACAACACAAAAGTGAATGTGAACAAAAGCTGCAAGGAGCGAGAATATCTTATCTCCCATGATAACGAAGCGTGCAATATTCAAACATTGTCCTCTATGTGGTCATTCAGGTAGAAGTGTCTGCTTTGCCCGAAGTCCTGATGAACTGTGTTCGGCCAGATACCAGAGTCCAATCAGCCTTCACCCAGTCCTGTACAAACTACAAGGCAGAAAAACATGTCACCTTTGCGTTCCTATACCCACCACGTAAGTGAAAATTGTATTCTATTTTAAAAAAAAAAATAATAATAATAATAATAATTAATGTAAGACAATTGAATTCTTGTTCATATTACCGGTAATGTGATTACTCAATTTGTTGCCAAGTCTTGCTCAGTACAGTTAAAGTAAATCCAAATTTGAGTATTGCCTCGCAACCTGAACACTGTACAAGCAATTGTTGAGTGGCCTTAGTTTTAGAAATAGTTTTGACAATACAATAATGTTTTCATAAAGTTTTATTCTGGATTAAATAGTTGTATGAAAATGTTGATATCTTAACTTACTGAAATGTACTTTATATTTCGACAGAATTATCCACAAGCATCGAGAAGAAATACGAAGCCCTTTTTATAACCAACACTGTTCCGATGTATCCTGCGTTCAAGAGTAAGTATCTCATTCAGCATTTATTGTCTGTCCACTTCCTTCCCAAAGTACAAGAACAGTGAGGCCAATGTCTTGACTTTTGCTAAAGACTGGAAAAAAATGTGTTAATCATTTGATGAATGTGATATAAGATATCAACATTGCGACCTCTTTTCTGGTGTTTGCATTTGAAAGTAATCCAAAAAAAAAAAAAATCAATTTTGTCTGACCAAATCCATTGATCATGTGAGCAAAATATTGGAACATGTGACAAACAGGTGTGTTATGTTGCTGTATCTTGTCTGACATCCCAACAATATATACAGTGAAATGTTGACACTCCGTTTCTGGGTTTTGTCAGTGAAGACTGCATTCATGCTAGTTTGAAGTAGAACCAACATGAAACCAAAAGAGAAAAAGGCAATTGCACAGCTGAAAGGTGAAAAAAGCTGGAAAATCAATCAGAACCATTACACGAACTACAGCCACAGCTATCCATTCGGAACGCCCTGAGGAAACCACTGCTGTATTATGTTTCAGACATTGAACGGGTAAGCCAAGGAAAATAGCCGCAGTTGATGACCGAAACATTTTCAGGGCTGTATCGAAATACCTTAAAACAACTTTCTGTGACATCAAGGAAGGAGTAAACATATCACTGTGTACTGTTTGTCGAAGATTTATAGTAGAAGTACAGAGGTCAAACTAGAAGAATTAAATCTCTCATTAGCAAACCAAATAGGAAGGTAAGGCTATTATTACTTGTTTCACATTGCCCCATAAAAGCGAACACAGAATCGGAAAGTGTCATGATTTTAACGGTAGAACAAACTTGTCTGAAGTACGGATACAATCTTCAGAAACAAATGTTACCACGGCCAACGCTTAAAAAGGTACGTCTCTATCATGCCATCGAGCTTTGAATAGCTGCCTCCTTCACATATGGCAATCTGAGTTTTCATAACATCGTAGAATATATTAATATTACTGTAAACACAATGCCTACTAAGCACACTAAGCGATGCAGTCAAACCCGACTGAACTGTCACACAGTGTGCCGTGCAGTGCATAGTTTTCATGAGTGGCCGACAGTTGGCCACTGGTTTTGCTCAAAATTTCAATTGCAGTTTCAGAGTGTTGCAACATCACATTTGCAGCAGCCAGTGCAAAATGATGGCAAGCTTGTTCAGTTCTGTTTCTTTCTTTGCCACCATTATTTCCTTCATTCTCAGACCATTCATACCTACCTCCTTCTTTCCACCACCCCCTCACCTCCCCCAGAAACATGGTCTTATTTTCAGAGAGTCCTTTTGAAGAAATATTCCACTGAAAGAAATGGGTTGAATGTTCTCACTGGACCAATATTTGATAATGATTTTGATGGTGTAAAGGACTCCACCGACAAGATTAAAGAGTAAGATTTTTTTTCTTTATTTTTAAGTACTCACAACCACATGACTAATTTCGTGACTTTTTCTTGACTGCAGGTATGCACGTGGGACAATACCCATCCCAACGCACTTTTTTGTGGTTCTAACCAGCTGCTTAGACTTCAGAAAGGCTGCAGATTCATGTGGTGGCCCCCTTAGCTCTGCTGCCTTCATCTTGCCACACAGACCAAACAATGATGAGACTTGCAATGTAAGGAACACTGCCAGTATTTATATTTGAGCTCACTCCAACTAATAAGTGGAGTATCATAATATCAGATGACAAAACACACCTGATTAAAAGCTGCAACAGCTAAATCTTGCTATAAAAAGATATAGATACGTATATTGGCCATTTCTCTTTTTTAGTCGCAGGTCTCCATGTTTAAACGTGGGGTATTTGCAAAGAAAAACGTTGCATAGATGGATTAAAAAAAAAGTTATAATAATTACCTTAAACACGGATAGACACTTTTTTTCCCAAACAAATGCAGCTTGTTACACAGTAACCTTCCCGAAACATTCTCAGTCTCTTGTTGTCCTTTGAGGCAAATTCTCAGACGACATTGTCTTCTTCATCGCGTAGCACTGCAGCCATTGGAAACTCATTTATTACGTGTTTGGGAGAGGTTGCTGTCCAACGGGGATAGTGCCTCTCATCCGTTGCAAGCAATCGTGGGAGTCCAGCAGCCAGACAAAACAACAGAGGGATTGGGGTCACACCGCAGAGATGGATGCATTTATGACACTTGTTCCCTATGTTCATTAAACTTAACTCAAGGTGCTGCTCCTTACTCTCAATTGTTCCGACACAGCACCGTACTCCTTTGTGCACACACTTCCGTCCGCATTTCCTCTCTCAGGCAGCCTGCCCTTCCCTGTTGCATGCGCTCTCCAACTGCAAATGGCTGATATAAAAATTCAGTATGACGGTGGACTCCGACAGTTTCATTGGCTCACTGTGACTTGTTTGGTAATGTCATTGATCAAATGTGACGAGATTATGAGGAAATCTATTGATGGCTTTTGTTCATCAGGAAAAATTCATAAATAAACTGCATCACAATAATAGTCAAAGGGATCAAAGTGTGTTTGTGTGGGGGGGGGGTAGTGGGGGCTTCTCGTCAGAAAAGTTTGGTATCTATGTAAATATTGAACATGTGACTGATTATCATTATGTGTGGACCAGGCTAAAATCTTTTTATTGAGAATGAGGCCTAGAGGTGATGTTAGTTACAGAAAAATGAGTAAAACCAATACTAATACTTATCAATGATTCCTTGCAGAGCTCAGATGAGGAGTCGAACTGGGTGGAGGACCTGATGAAGCTCCACACAGCTCGGGTCAGAGATGTTGAAATCCTGACAGGTCTGGACTTGTACCGTAGGACCACACGGAGTTATGCTGAAATCCTATCATTGAAAACGTATATGCACACTTATGAGAGTGAGATCTAAAGTTTTACCTTTATATTTTTGCTGGACTTGAACATTTTGATCACATTGTCTATGACGCGATATCTCATGGAACTGCACACGAGCTTGATTGCTTGATTCCCATCTCTACAACACCACTAAACTACAAAGTTTGACATGAATTGTAAAAGTCAGGTAGTAGTGAGGAAAAAAAAACTTGTGTCTGTTCTATACACACACACACACACACACACACACACACACACACACACACACACACACACACACACACACACAAGAAACCTGTGAACATCAGAATATGTGTTTTACATTTTACTGTATTTGAATACAGGTATATATTATACACGCTTGGCAGTGTTTTCGTGATATCATATACCTGTGGACACGGCTGCGGCCGCCATGCTGGAGGTTACGTATTGTTTTGTTCCAGCGCTTAGTGAGTATCTAACAATAGAAAAATGTGATGGCCAACGTCAAAGAATGCTTAATTACTGTGTTGGAATCAGGGAGAGATGTTAGAACATTTCTCCAGCAAGGGATGGAGGTTGTGGCTTTCACAAATCAACAGAGCATATATATATATATATATATATGTGTGTGTATGTATACATGTACATATATAGGTGTGTGTATATACGGTATATACATATAAATATCCCTGTGTATATATGTGTGTGTGTGTATATATACATATATACACACACACACATATATATATATATATATATATATATATATATATATATATATATATATATATGTGTGTGTGTGTATATATATATATACACACACACACACACACACACACACACATTCTATTTTCACAACCATAAGGTACACTCAAAAGTCTGACCTTTTACCCAACTAGCACGGGGCGTGTAGTAATGCGGTGTGTCTTGTGCATGCACCGAGTTCCAAATTCTGTGAATGTTGTGTGACTTTGATGAGCGCTCCGCTTGACTGACTGATATTGTGCTGACACGCTGCTTATATCGAGGAAAGACGGACGTACCAGAGAGCAGCATGCGGATGTTAAAGGGGGAAAGGTGGGCGTGAAAGAGGAGTTTAAAAGCATCCCTGGTAGGTGTACATAGTGACAGTATGTGCATATACAACAACCTGAAAATGGCAGCTATTAAGAGACATGCCTACGAAGCACAGTTCAAACTACAAGCGATTATTTATGCGGAATCCGAAATTCAGATCAACGAATCCATGGTCCGCAAGTGGAGGAAGCTGGAAAACGTGTTTCGCCAAGTCCAGTCACCGTTCAACTGAGGGCAAAAACGCTTGCAGAAGAAATAAAAATCGAACATTTTCAAGGACGTCCATCTTGGTGCTTTCGTTTGACTGCAGTAAAAAGATTGCCGACAAACGGCCGTCTGACAGCTGCTGTGAAAAACCAAGTGCAGCAAATGAATTGGGAGCTTTCAATCATTCCGGGGTGGGGTTCCACATGGACACACGATCTGGGGTGCAAAGCCATCTCCAATTGCCCACGTCACATGCACGGCCGACTACCTCATCCGCAAGGGCAGCGCTTACAGCTTACCTGCCAATATCATGCATGGACAGCAGCGAGTCTATTTTCGTTTGCGCAGTGTCTAGCATGGTGTACTCGAGCGCCCTGATTTTGATGCAAATGAGGGATGGCACTTGGATTGGCCGGAAAGGCTACTTCCGTCCCAGAAGGGCACACAAAGGCGCAAACGCTAGACTTGTGCTCGGAATGAAAATAGGGCCACGAGTGTTCCTCTTAGTCTTCTTGACAGCGCTGTTGGTCTTTTCAGAATAAAATGCAAACTGCTGGTATCTTTCCATCGTATCCTGGGAGGAGTCCCACCTCGGTACATCTTGCATGACTTTGTTTTCACTAAGCTGCAGCAACCGCTGTTTTCTCTGCAACACGTTGCTTTCTACTCTGAGCTCTCCATGTGTCATCAGTACTGACAGCGACTGGTAAAGTGGGACTCCGCTCGTGATCCTTGTCCAGCATGTTTTCAGTAACGAGATAAATGGTCCCGGCTGCAGTTCCAACTGCCAGTAAACTACTTTTAGTCTTCATTCCTCCTTGAGGGGATTTGTTGCTGTAGCACAGGTTGCTTTGAGACTCTCTTTGAATTCCATACACAGTGATGAAGTTGGAAGGGAATAATCCAGTCCTTTTCTTGCTTGAGATGGTGTTATTCCAGGACACCTCGAGACCGTAAAATAGTTAAAAGAGGAATAAGAATGCTTAACACCCATCACTTGCAAAACATCATTGGCCAGTAAAGTGTGTCAGTCTAATTCATGTGCAAGCAAACACTTAGCCATGGTCTGTTTTCATTTCATCACACTATTTTGCCACATGTGTTTTATGTCACATTTCTTTAAAGTACCTGTTCGTGTGTGGCGATCGTGAAGTTAGTGTCAGTCCACTAAGTAGTGCACCGTTAAGTGGTGTCAATTGGTTTCAAATAACAGTGCCATTCTAGCTGCTGAAATGTTGCTGAGTGTACAGCATTGATCAAGTTGTCTTATGACAGATAACATGTCTTTTCCTATGTTATGTAGACTTGCTAATTGGCCCCTTTTTGTCAGGTTGTGCATTTTAACGACTTGCATTTTTGTGCTTGTACTTAATAAACACTGATTGTGATTTTGTCGGCAGAATCATTTGTAAATTGGATTTTTGATAGAATTCAATACAAATATCGATGTTGGAGGATAATGGTTAAGTATGTTAGACTGGTAAAATAATAAGGGTAGAATTAAACATCTTCATTAAAACATTGTAAACTAACGTCGGCTGGTCTGAGCCATGAAAAACCAGGGCTGAGAAATGAGTCCCCGAACGCCTCTGATTAGCTCTCAGTTTTTTTCTTTTGTGAACTGCTGCTGTTTCGTATTCAACATTTGTTACTTAATTTTGATGTTGGTTTCACCTCTAACTAGTGTAAATAAAGTCTTCATGCCCAAAAATAAGTGTACTCATTCATTCATTTTATTATTTAAATCGTAATCATATGATACTGGTGTAAAATATCCATCTAATCATTACCCAAACCGGTCTTCTTCAAATCTTTATTTTTCCATATTCCCCGACCAACGGAGTAAAGCGGTACAATAACTGCAAAAAATATTAAACAGCAAATGAATAATCAACACACTGATGACTTAAGAGCAGTAGAAAATATTACTTCTTAGAGGTTACCTCCAGCTTCAATTTGACATCTATTTAAAAAAAAAAACACTAATGTAATTATTTTCATTTTCTAATATTTTTTTAATGATCAAACACAGCTTTAAATCATTTAAAAGTCATAAAATTTTCAGCCCCCTTTCTGTGTGTTGACAAGAAAAGCCACTCTGTGCACAGGATGCAAAGCCACAATTTATTCATGAGCAGATGCTATACTTACCAGAACCCTTGACTTGAGATGTTTGAGAGGAACCCAGTTCTACCACATCATTTCTCAAATGAATGGCGACTAAAAGTTATTTATATTTTCCAGTCAGGTCTGTGCAGCTTACTGTCTTTCAAAATATGGTTCCACTGCCACATCAGTCAATCAGGGAATAACCAGGTATTGTGTTAATTGGATAATCCGAATGCTTGATGGGTTAGGTGAGGGAATTCGAAGCAAAGAAAGTGTTGTTGAGGACTTACTGTAGTTTGGGAGAATTTTACCAATCGGGTTTGGAAATAACAGATTAAACTCCTCCATGTCATATATATATATATATATATATACATACTAACGTTCATTGTGAGCAGACGTGTTTTTTGTGATTTATGCAAATCTGACTGTTTTTTTGTTATTTCTGCATCGTGTATTGGCCCCTAATCCTGGGATAATAAAATAGTTTCGGATTTCGAATAAATCGCTTTTCTGGAACGGATTATGGTCGAAAACCGAGGTATGACTACAGATTTTTGAAAATGTGATGTTTTTAGTAAGACAGTCAAGTGTTTCGCATCTTATGAATGCTTCAGCCAACAAAGCAGATGAGGAAAATGTGGTTAAGATCGCACGACTGTCCGTGTTTTTATGTTATGTGTTGGGTTTATTATTTTATTTTATATTAACTGTTTTGTTAAGCGCTTTGTTACAGCTGCAACTGTTGTGAAAGCACTATATAAATCAGGATGTATTGTATTGTATTTTCTCTTTTGCAATTTTTTTCCCTTGGATGGAAAGCAGTGAGTGCGCTTTATTGTCTTGGTTGTATGGGTGGATACCAGGTGTATTCTTGGTGCTGTCTTCATTTTTTTTTTTTTTTTTTTTGTCTGTAAATATCTATCTTTTTTTCTTTTCTCTTCACCCTTTCTTCAACCATGTAATCTTCAATAGCAAGTCATCTTGAATTTTTTTCACAGATCTCCAAGAAAAGTGGTCACAGCAGGGAGCTGGGCAGTGCTTTTGGTTTGCAGGAAAGTGAGGGAGGACATTTTGTCTTGGGGCGATTTTAGGTCAGAAGGGGTACAAGCAAGTTTTTTGCCAATCATTTGTCAACAGGAGGCTACGATCAATAATCACTAATGTTGTCTCCTTTTTTTTTGTGATCAAATTTCATCCTCCCGAACAGTAATGACCAAAGCAACGACGGTTGTGTATTTGATCACATGGAACGTGATTTTCCATATATACGTGAGTGTTAATAAAAAGAACGTCATACTTTTACTGCTGTGTTTGCTCCAGACAGACTCATGAAGGCCCAGGAGGAGTCTAATCTGGGCACAAAAGAAACGGATTGCACGCTCAGATTGACTATGTCATTGACAAATGCCTCGCATTAATTTTGTTACGTATTTGTCCCTTGAAGATGTCGAATAACCCTATTAAATCAGGTAGTCAGTTGGCCATTAATCTCAATGGAGCAGGCTAGTCACTCAAAACTAATGGGGTTTATAATTTGCATGAAGCGAGTTTATCCAAAAAGCTTTTACTAAAAGGATTACATTTCAGACAGAGGGTTTATCATCACACTTGTTCAGACATGGATTAACGGCAGTCGTTGCAAAGAACTTTACTGCGACAGAAAGTCACAAATTTCCCGACTCTGCCTTAGGTCTGTTTTCGTGAGATTAACATTCAGTCCAGTTTGGCTTGTGGAACAATCAACATGTTACACAATTATTGACTGATCAATAACAAGAGTTTATATCACTTGTTTATGTTGTACAATTTCATCATATATATGCACTCTATAGAGAGAGGGAGAAAACACACACACACACACATCACATATCTCATAATGACTGCCACCTTTGATTCTTGCTCCATCATTTTTACCTGCCAGTATTTCATTTAGCGGCAATAAGCCTACTTCTTTGCAAATGCGTGGGGGTATTCTTGTATTGTTTTAAGTATGCAATTGCAGCAGTAATAAAATTGAATTTAATATGTTGCCTATAATTTAATTGATAATGTCATTATTTTTCATGTGCATTTAATAACTTGATTTTTAAAACAATATAGCTTGCCACCGTGTCCATTGAACATGTCACTAGATGTGTGTCAACGTTGGACTTGACAAGTCCGTGTACGTTCAGTCCAATGTTGAACAGAGTGCACCATTTTGAGGGATTAAAAAAAAATACAACTGGTTCATGAAGCGAATTTAAAGCGTGATTTTCCTCCAACTACTGATTACCTCCAGACGTGTTTAATCAAGAAATCATTGAAATAGCTTGTGACTTAAATTGTGATTTCATCCATTTTCTACACACTTGTACCTCTTTAGGGTTGTGATTGATCTGGAACCTATCTCAGCTGACTTTGGGTGAGACGAGGGGTACACCCTAAATCTGGCGTCAGCCTACCGCAAACACACCAGTGAAATGTCTTAGTCCAGCCGACTTAGTCCAAGACCTGTCAGGCACGGAGTTTCAAAAATGAATGGCCTTCCTTCTGCCATTGCCAGTCTGGTCACGAAAAGGAAGTCCAGAGTAGGGATATAGTTATAGCAGACTCCAACGTTACATTTTCGGTGTTTCATGCTTTTAGGGAACATGTGATCAGCTGACGAAGCGGTAGCAATTCCCCCAAGTCACAGCGACGAGTTAAGCAATTTAGAGTTAAGGTTCCGCTGTACGTTTTCTCCTGCAGCTTTATTAAAGTTCAAGTATAACCTGAAAGTTCATTCTGATCATAAACCTCTCAAGTTCATACTAATAAATCAGTTTTTACTCGGCATAAAGAGCAGAAAGTCTTTCAGATTCATGCGAGAGTAAATGTATATTTGTATGTGCTGTAGGTGTATGAATCTTCCAATTCCATTGTCCCTCTGCCCCTTTGATATGCTAGGATTGAAAGAAAGGGAAGAAAATGTTGAGAAAAATTCAAAAATCATGGAGTGGTTTTCAATTTGTTTGCTTTGTCAAAACTATGATTTCACGAGCGAGAGTTTCTATTTCAAATGCGCCTTAAAATCTTTATCCTCATATTCTGGCATGCAATGTTTGCAAAGTAAATTCCAACTGTTAAACAAAAAGATTAAAGTCAATGCTAATCCTTGCTCCCTGTCTCCCCAGGCATGTATTGGAGGAAAGAATGCATGTTGTTTTGAATTTCTTTTTTCTGCATTTTTTCCCCGTGCCTGTTTTCTTCGACAAAGGCAACAACAGCATGAGCATTAGACCAGAGCTGAGGCTGGAGTCTTTAAATCCTGATGCGCTTCAAAGCACGGAGAGAGCAATTCATCTTCTTATCTTTGACTCAAAACAGGCTTTTTGTGTGGAGGAGAGAGGGAAAGGGAAGAGGCAAGAGGGAGGGAGGGTAGGGGGGGAATGCTGTCGAGTAATTTTCCGTTTAAATGTTCCACTCCACAACAATTTGCATAAGCAGCCCTGCGCCTGTGATAAGAAGATTGGTAATTTTCAAAGGCTCTGTAGGGATTGAGAATTAAAAGCCTTTCTGCACTATCTTCCCTCTTGCAGCTGGCCACCAAAGATTCCCTCTTCTCTCATGCATTTTCGCCTAAACTACGCCTTATAAACTTTCCCTACCATCCTCTCCTCTGCTCGCCCTGACAGTGCAAACTTTATCCCGCCGTATATTCTCAGTCCTATCCTATCATTCTGCCACAGACTTCGCACTATTTGGTGTTATTTTTGCTTGCCTAACCCTTAGCAACAGCAATGTGAATTGACACAAATCATGAATTCATTTTTTAAGATGATCACTGTGGGTTATGATGTCACGGCAAAGACAAGAAACCCCTGTTTGACTGGCGGCATTGCAGCTGTAATCTTGTCATTTTAGACTTGCTTCTGGGGCTGCGCAGTAGATGTAGTGCTTTGCTCGGTCATAGTTATATCGGATTTGTACAATCATTATAAAATATACACCAGGGGTAGTCACAAATATTTGAGGGCCACAAAAAACATTTTCAATGAATCAGCAGTGAATTTATTGAGGTCATGCCACATGCGATTAATACTGTGTTTAAAATAAATAAATAAATAAAACTGCAATATCTCTCTCTGACAGAAATTGCAAATGTTTAATAACATGGCCCATGTCCTAAATTGAAAACAAATACCTGTAGTTTATATTGGGCAATGGGGGCTAAAAATGTGTTTCTATTTGTAAATATAAACACAAAGAACTACAAAAGAGAAGTAAAAATGTACTTGTGTGTTATTCTACAGCGGCTTCCCAATTTTGAATGTGTGCCAGTGCTGATTTTCACTGTCCCCGAATCGCCAACTGTTCCGGATTGTCCATATTTTGGTCCGCAAATCTCAGAACGCGTCCTAGATATGGCCGCAACATGTGGTGTTCCGGATATTTCAAAAATGGGTCATGGGTCACGTTGCCCAAAAAGGACAAAAATGAGCAAAAATTATTGGTAGATACTTGCAATCTATGTTTGACAACATACTGCTTCCACTGGTGGCTCCAGTGACGTCAGCATCACTGTGGACATTACATTAACACAAGTTGATGAGCCCAAAGTTAGCTGAAAGCTAACGATTTGACTCGACGACAATCACTTCTAATTTCGGTAGATTCAGATCAGCAGCTAAAAACAAACACAGACGCTAGCAGACGAGTCCAAGCTAAAAGCTAATGACTTGACTTGACCCCAACTCTTGCTAATTTTCATAGCTTCATATCAGCGGCTAAAAACAAAGGCAGCTGTACAAAGTGAAGCTTCATCGGCAGCTTATTATGTCCACTAATGCGCAGACAAGAATTCTGTGCTAACAACAGCTTTATCCATCAAAGAAAAACAAACACCATCACACTTCACTGTGTTGTTGTACCATCAGTGTCATAATTACACTTGTTGGAATACGCCAATCGGCCATGGCCCGTGAAGCACAGCTAATGGTGTATATTTTTTATTTATTTATTTATTTTTGGGTCCCTGGAGGTATGTCTTCATATGAAAATGTATTTCCTTAGAAAAAAAAATGTGTATCGTATGTGTGCGCAAAGAGCATTGTTGGAATGTCACTGCATTTTCATCATGATTTTTGTTAGATTCATTCTTTGAAGCATCAATTTTCATGTGTTCAATACAATGCCTTGATTTTGGTGAGGTTATTAGGACACATTCACACATTCCATTCCGTGTGAAGGAAAAATAATTTTGGATTCAATTTTATGTAATTACATTTTCATCTTTACATGCTTGATGTAATAATTACATGAAAATAAATTATGATTATAGAGAAACTGTGTTGTGTAAATGAATGGGTTGCAGACTTGTTAAATCTACTGCGGAAGGGTGCTGCGTTAATGTTCTTGACAAAAGATTAAACATATGAAAATTCTGACAAATTGTTCTGGTCACCTGGTTAGCACTGGTTAGTTTGCATGCTCTCCCTCCCACATTCCAAAAACATCCACTATTAGTTAATTATTTACTGTAAATTGTCCTTAGGTGTGATTGTGAGTGCAAATGGTTTTTCGTCTATGTATGCCCTGCGATTGGCTGGCAACCAATTCAGGGTGTTCCCTGCCTACTTTCTGAAGAAAGCTAGGACAGGGTCCAGCACGCCTGCAGCCCTCATTTGGATAAAGCTGTTCAGATCATGGAAGGATGTATGTTGTGAAAGAGAATTTTGATGGCTTGGCAGCTCCGCTGTCCACTTTTCTTCTAGCCGTGAAGTTGGACCACATTTTTGTGCAATCTAGCCTACTACTGATGTCAAATCATCATAATAGGAACTTCTCCAAAAACAAAAGTGGGAGTAAAAAAATTGCAGTCGCTGTCAAAAATTGCAGCTGCAGCAGTGCACTCTGAGTAACCCGGTAACAAGCTGTGTCGTGGAGGTATTCTTCCCTGTAGTTCATGTTTGTCGCACTGTCCTCACATCAGTGTGTAGGCCAGAACACCACTTGAGGCCAGACTCCGAGGAAGGATGGTCATCAATTCTCTGAGGCAGATCTGTGGGGTTTTCACCCGTATTCTATTTCTTAAAAAACAATTCATTCCTGTGTGTATGTGTTGTTTGCTATGAGAGATAGAAAAAACAATTACAAACTGGTAAGTGAACCTGAACATATAATAAATCAAGGCCCAAATACACTATTTCGCATTGCAATTTGTGAGTCAAAATTAGCATTCTGAGCCCCAAAACACTTGAATGGCAATATATAAATAAATAAAATATGCATGTTTTGGAATGTGAGAGGAAACCATAGTACTTGGAGAAAACCCACGCAGGGACGGGAAGAACATGCAAACTTCACACAGGAAGGCCGCAGCCGTAATCGAACCTTGCAGCATATTTGCACGGTGAGGCGGATATGCTAATCAGTCGACCACCGTGCCGCCCAAATAACACACACACACACACACACACACACACACACACACACACACACACACACGCGCGCGCGCTTGATAAATAAAGCAGCATGAGAGAGTCTGTTGATTGAGATGAAGTGCTAGGGGAAAATGCCTTCACAATTCTATACACTTCCCAGGTGTTCTTATAACATGTCTGTGGTTATACTTTGATCAAAATACCCTGAGGGTCAAGAATAAGAGACCTACTTGGACACATCTTCAACCATAAACCATCACACAGGCCCAGTAACTTTACTAAGCAATCAAGTAAGTGCTGAAATTCAGAAGCTCAGACACATGAGAATGCATTACCAGTCAATGTACTGAATCGATGGCAATGCAGACCAATTTGTGAAAAAAAGCGCATCAAATTCATCCATCCATCCATTTTTTTAATCTGCTTATCCTCACGAGTGCCGCGGGCATGCTGGATCCTCTCCCATCCGTCATCGGGCAGTGGTCAGGGGACACCCTGAAATGGTTGCCAGCCAATTGCAGGGCACACATAGACGAAGAACCATTCGCACTCACAGAGACACCTTGAGACCATTTAGAGTTTTCCATTAACCTGCCACGCATGTTTTTTGGAATGTGGGAGTAAACGCACCCAGAGAAAACCCACGCAGACACGGGGACAACATGTAAACTCCACGCAGAAAGGCCGGAGCCGAAATTGAACCCTGCACCTTTTCCCCGTGCAGCCGACATGCTAACCAGTGGACCACCGTGCCGCACGCATTAAATTATAAATTGAAACGTATGAAACTCATGTTGAAAATATTGTTTTTGGCGGGGGCGATGTTTTTTTTGCCACGTATACTGACTTTAGTGACACTTTGTAGTTATCAGAGGTGCTGCCATTACAAACCTCCTGCGGCTCATAATATGAAATACTAACAATGTACCAATGCAAGACAAATGACCTTTTTTGGGTCCCCAGTACAGGATTGGTTGAGGGGGGCAGGAACAACGGTGGCGCTTGGGGGCCATTCTGTGGACTTGACAGAGCTGATCAGGAAGACAGCCAGAAGTCAAACAAATGGCGCTTGCCAAGGCCATTCTGCACGATGCTAGGTGAAAGATCCAGGAGCTGCTCAGGGGGACAGCCTGGATGTCATGCCCAAGAAGCTTGCCAGGACCTATTGGCCTAATGGAGTCAACAAACAGAAAGGCTAGGCTTTAGGTCAAAAACAAGATGCTAATGCGCCAACTTGACCACCCATTTTTTTAACGTAATATGCAGCACGAGGGAATAAAACGGCACCTTCTGTATGGTTTGTCAAGGGAGCGACTGTATATTTTAGATTCTTTTTAAATATTATATTATTATTTTCATGATTGCCTTATCATTGATGTACAGGACTTCCTTACTGCAGGTGCTGTGCAGTGCTATATAGAGTTTTAACTCCATTTTTATCTGACATTCAAATTAAGAAAGACATTTTCATTAAAAAACAAAAAAACCTGAACACAAATTCACTCAAACTCACGCCTGAAAAGTCGTGACCATTCACTGATAAAGCAAATCACCATACCTTCACAGCGCCCACTACTCTGTGCCAATGCTTTCCTTCAGCCAACCGAACAGCGGGATCAGCCGACATGGTCTACATCTCGACCTATGTCTCTAATATTGTCGAGAAAACTCGGATTAAGTCCATAAATCCACCATACCCATTGTTATCTGTGCAGCCTGGGTGCCATGTCCTCCCCTTGAAATATGTTCAAGTGATTTCACTGAGTGGTGACACGATGTTTGACTGGTTACCACGTCCGCCTCACAGTGTAAAGGTGCAGGGTTCGATTGCGGCTCTGGCCTTCCTCTGTGGAGTTTACATGTTCGCCCCGCGCCTGGGGGGATTTTCCCCAGGTTCCCTACCACTTTCTAAAAATATGCAGGGTAGGTAAATTGATCACTCGAAATTGTCATTAGGTATGATTGTGAGTGTAAATGGTTGTCGGTCTATGTGCGCCCTGCGATTGGCTGGCAACTAGGGCTAAGTTTATTTGGGGTAAATGGGTGACGACAACACATGAAATAAAATTCAACTGGGGAGGAAAACACCTACCTGTGGTTTTCAGTGTTTTTGTGTTTTGGAAAATAGTCCCCCAGCGACCCTGGTCAACTACCCTTTCATGAAAGTGTTCAATTAACCTTCTTTTTCACACACTTTACAGAAAAAAAAAACATGTTGTTGTCCTCAAAGTGGTGAAGGCAGGGGAATTTACAAAAACAAATTTGGACTTGATGTGACGACTGGTTTCCCAATTAAAAATTTAGTTGTAACAGTACTCTACTTAGTCTACATAATAAATATTGAATATACATAAACTACTACTCTAATAATAAATAATAGGAATAATAATAATAATTGTAAGGAGAAGCAGAAGAAGAAAGATAAACTTTATCGTCTAATATTCTTTTCTAATTAAAAAAATACTTTAAAAAAGAATTCCTGCAGCAACAAATTTCTCTGTCTGCGTTTTGAACCAAACTTTCACTGTCCTCATGTTGGCTGTCTGCTGTTGCATCTATGGGTTGTCTCAAGGTGTTTTTTTTTTCTTTAACCTCGATTTCTCCACATAAGGCAACTGAGAACAGATTCTCATTTGCAATGCCAATCTGGCAAATCGAAATATGTAAACTGTACCTTGTGATTTAGGTTATGTTCATAATGCAGGTCAATTCTGATTTTTTTGCCCAATGTGTCATGTGTCTGACCTAGTCCTCTTTCATATGTGGATATAAATAGGAAGGATATGCATCCGATGCGACTGCAGTCTGGACACTCAGGTCTCGCATTCATCTGACCTACACATCATCAAAAGGCGACAAATGTCACGGCTGTTTGACAAAACACACAGGAACTGAAAGTAATCACGATCGGAAGAGCAGAAAACAGTGGTGTAAAGAAGATGCTTTTGAACTGATGAATATATGGGCGGAGTGGTCAGCTCAAGCACGAAATCCTGTAGGGTGCGAGTGGTGGTATGCATGGTGAGCAGGCAGTGGCGATCGAGCTGGGTCTTGCCGAGGAGTTTTTCATAGATCAACACGGATGAGTGAATATGTCTACGTGAGAAGAGAGGGCCAACTAACCAGGGAGTTTAGTTCAGAGTGGCGACTGTTAAGGGACCACAGGTGACAAAGTGGATGGTAAAGTGGCACATTATCTTTACCTTGCGGAGAAGAGTGTTTGAAGCCGATCTATTTGGCATTGTGTATTTCTGTTGAAAGGTAACAGCATCCAACTATTGAATATACCTATTACACGATCACAGGTTATCACAGACTTTGGAAAGGGGGTCATTTTTCTGTCAGATGAAATCCCAGAAGCTTAGTACATAGAGAGTAGAAAGTGTTGCGCTACATGACCCTTCCACCGTAAGTGCTTAATATGCAGCCATTCCTAGTCCAGGGGTGTCAAACTCACTTTTGTAGTGGGCCACATTGTCGATACGGTTTCCCTGAGAGGGGCCATTATGACTGTGAATATTGTGAAACCGTATAAATGTATGATCGCCTCCACATATTACATATACAGTGCACAACACATTGGTGGATAACTAGTTTTGAAATCTGAAGTCAAGAATAATGGTTTGTTCAACCATTGTGCATTTTAAAGTATAAGTACGTAATGAGATAATGCTTGGAATATCTCTATGTAATGATGGATTACATGTGACAATTTTATATTTGGGTTCAGACTTTAGCAAGCATCATGGAAAACTGGGCATGCTCGATTGGCTCTCGCGGGGCACACAAAATAATATGGCGGGCCAGATCTGGCCCCCGGGCCTTGAGTTTCACACCAGTACTATACTGTAGTCACTTCACAATAAAAATGTGGATTTTAGGTTTGAACCCTTTATATTTTTCCCCAAAATGAATAACTTTGGGGCTCTTGCACAGGCTGTCTGTGTATCTTTGGCACAAAGACAAGTCCGGGTATACATATGCTGACTGACTCAACCATAACACATGAAGGAATAATCGTTCGGGTGGCTCCAAAAAGGCGGCTGGCTTTGCTATGCTGTGAACATCTGTCCTTCCAAGGTCTTTGCACCACCCTGGTGAGGAATAAGCGCATCACTCATTGCAGCCTTTTCCAAGTACTGTACTGTAGAAGCAATGCTAACTTTTCATTAATTATTGATGTGCAGACAGACGCACAGACAGACCCCCCCCCATAATAAATCGAAGCATATAAAATACTTTACACTTTAGACTAATTTAAAAACGGATCCAAAATCCGTTGAACAATATTGTAACTACAGTACTCAATTTAAGCTGACGGCTATTCCAGTTAACAAATCTCGGCATTGTTTTAGCTGTATTACAAATAACTTGGACACAGCCGTCATATTCATTTAATCACTTTTCTGTCTGCATAAATTCATCAGTACTAAGACATGTACTGTGTATGATCAGAGGGACGCAGACAGTCAATCACTGTGAATCTAATGCTATATTTAAATTGCTGGAATAAAAAGCAAATACACAGCTTGTAGCTCGCCAGAGAAATACTCACGGAAACCCAGATTTGGTGATTTAATTAATTTCGTGATCAGAAACATTGACCGGAAAATATTTGTAAACAATGTTAGACTTCGTATGCTCTGAATATGTTGCTGTATTGTAATTGATGCTATTTGACTCCAGAAGATGGGGCTGCTGGTTGAGTTTTCCAATGCGAGGTCGACCCACCCACCTTCTAAACCGGCGATCAGCTTTGAACGTAGGAAAGACCGAATTTCGACAGGAAATTAGCCTTTTTGACTTCAAAGTAAAAGCTGTCCCTGGGGAATTATTAGCTCATTTTTATTTTGAAAGAAAGCACTGGAAGTCATTTTGGTGTAATTCAATTCCTTTGACGGCACCGTGGACGGGATTTCCAAACAAGGAATGCGGCTGTTGCTGCAAGCAGACAGAGAAAAAGCAGAGCTGCAAGGCTTCGGCGGCGGGTTCGGGGATGTGCGCAAGCCCACCTCTGATTCACTCCTCCGTCAAACCCACACATTCACCTGGAAGATAGTAAAAACTGTGAGCAGGGGAGATTTGGACACAGTTGAAATGTGGAAAAACAAAACTCACAGGAAGTACAACTAGCGGGTTATTTCTCTGTCAATTAAAGAAGATGGACGTTTGATTGAGGAACAGAACAAGAAAACAACATACGAACACACTCGTTATTTTCTTTACCTTTTTACGCACTGAGAGACCAAACGGAATCAACGGACATTCCCAACTCGTTGGGGTTTTACACATCTCAATATCAACAATTTAAACATTGGTGATTTTTGTTGACCTATCGAAGGACTTACTGGCACACTTTTTTTGGATTTGGTTGGTGTCCAGTGACAATATGCATCAAAGGGAGAAGTGACTTGATCAAGGTAAATTTTAATTTTAAAATTAAATGCATACCATTTTATTTGCCCGTTGACATCAAGTTCACTGTGTGTGATTGTGTTTGGACATTTGGGTCGGTGAGTGTGTCTCAATTTTTTTTTGGGGGGGGGTCAGTGGTTGGTGGCTGTGGACAATATTGACTAATGACAGAATGATTGCCACCTTGATTTACACAGTTGTCGAGGTGTGATATACGCTGACTTGCAGTCAAGGAGTTTCGCTTGTTAAATCCCCGCACACCGAAACCCAATGTGCCGTGGGTGCCGCTTTGGGCATTCGCAGTCTGCGGTCCAAGATAAAGACGCCCGTTTCTGTCGAGTGATTTCGCCTTAATTGTCACATATAATTCACCCTGTTGCAATACAATGGACATTTTCCAATTACTTAATTTTGACGTTATCTTGCAAAGATATAGTCACGAACTTTTAAGTGGCATTAATTATGCATTGATAATTTCAAGTAAATATACTTTCATAATTGTTTCACATTTTGTTTAAAATAAATAAATACAAACGTACTTTAGTTTGGATGTTTTATTTGTTTATTTATATTATTTATGTAAGAAGTGTTTATTGGATACACACCATGTGGTTCCCCCAGAAGTGACTTGTTCTATATGAGCATTACACATAAAAAAAAAATACAAAACCCCCACAAACATTTTGTGGCATTTCCAAACACCCAACCTTATTTTTCCTTGTCTTGAAATTCAATTGTCTGCAGGTTTATTTGATCCATGTTTTGGTAATCGAACACAACTGAGCCATGTTGAAATTGTGCCCATTCCTTGGATTGCCTTTCATAAATAACCCTTATATAGCTGCAAACCTAAATAATGCTTTTAAAGAAATTCTTTGGTTTGAAAATTTCAAATATTATTCTGTTTTGGGCCATCATTATTCAATAAACGTACCAGCATAGCAAACTCATGTAAATTTATTATTCTTGTTTTAAATTTTCCATTTTCCACATTATTCTACCAAAACATTAAAAACAAGCTCATATTTTTGACAAGACCCGCTGTTACATTATGCAATGCTCTGATCAAATTACGTGAATCATAATGATGCCTTTTGTAAGTGTGTGTGTGTGTGTGTGTGTGTGTGTGTGTGTGTGCGCGCGTGTGTGTGTATGTGTGTGTATGTATATATGTATGTATGTATGTATGTATGTATATATGCACAAATGGAAACAAAGTATCAGAAAGAATGAAACCAAGCTCAACCTGTGCCAGTAAAATAAAAGGGTACGGTGAGAAGAAGAAATTCTAAATAATCCAAACTATGCTCATTATCAAGTGTGTCAGATATGGTGATGGCATTGATCAATAGAGACTGTGTGTACACCTTTGATTTTTTCACAAACTCTATATAGGTGAGAATGTTTTATATATTTGTTCATATTGACACTGTCAGTTTGCAACATTGATGCAAGATTTACTTTGCCTATTTAGCAGAGCTAATGTGAAATTAAAATAGCTGTGACTCTAAATACAAAATTGAGGGGAATTGTGAGTTATTTAAGGCATTAGCACTGAAGACTGGAATTAAAATCAATATTTTGCCCCACTTTTTGAAGGAGGCGGATATTGCATGTTAAGTCGTCTGGCCACAGAACAATAATTGACCAAAGTATATCACAGAAAAGACATGGCCATTCTGTCTGTGACTGGCACGGTTGGCTTGTCAAGTCACAGGAATTACACAAGCCAGCAATACGACACGGGCTTTTGCAAAATCATTCATGCATTTTTTTTCTTGTTTTTAAACCTAGACGTTCCTTCCATTGTTGTTCCACTGTTGCCGTTCAAATACAAATATAGGCAACTGCCTTACCTCGTCTCATCTGCTCATTCTCTGATCACACCCCTCAAAACAGGGCTGCAGTGTCAAAGACTGCGTGCTTGAGGAAACCTCATATTTGAATTTGTGGCATCAGAGTGCAGGAGAGGGAGACATTGAGGTGGGGGTACAACGGGAGTCATTGAACAGGAGAGATGTATAGATAGGTGATGAGGAGACAGTGAGCAGGATGACAGAAGACGGAGAGAAGGCATTGTAAAAAGGAACTGTAAATACGACAGACAGACCATGCTATTGTGCGTCCTCTGAGAAGGACATGATATGACCAAGGTTTGAAATACTCAGTCAGCAATACCGACACCAATCCCTCAGAAACCCAAACCCTTTAAGGTCAAGATTACGAACAAAATGAATGTCCCCAATGGTTTTTCAATCTTACAGTTGAGCTAAATATATTTTCTTCGAGAAACTGCTACACAATTCACCGGATTCACTTCCAAAAATACAGCCTCCCGGAATATTGGACTGAATTAAAAGCTTGAAAATGTTAGTAAAGAACTCCTGGCCCATATGACAAACAATTACACTTTAGAGTGACTTACGTCTATAACATTCACAAGACTGACTTTTGTGTTGCACTGTTGTCATTTGGGGAGTTAACATATAAAAACTGGATGAATCTGATCGGATGCTCTGGTGACACTCATCACGTTATATTCAAATCGACGTTATTGATACACATTACGGATGGAGTGTTTGGACAATTTGGACAGTTTTATTAAAGTGAGCACACAGTCAAATAAATGTGTAGTTTTGCACCCGCGTGTGCTCTATTCTCTGCATCCAGAAAAACGAAGCAGCAGTGGTAGTGTAAGTGTAATTTTGCAGCTCGGTGATGAAGTAGCGTTTCCAAATATAAACAATGCTTTACTGTTTTATGGGAGCTTGACAATTCTTTCAGTTTCAAAGTAAAATTCAAGATTGGGGCCCAAAACAGCTCCACCTTGTTGTCATGGTAATGAGCCCAAAGTATAGGAGCACACCTCTCATTCGAGGGGTGGCTCATTTACATGAGACGGGAACACACCAAAAATGAAACGAAACAAATAATGGCTGTTGTTTCGTCATGGGTGCCTAGCGTGCAATCATTTCTATTTCGACTGAAGCATGTTAGCATGATATTGTATAAGGAAACCTGGAAATTGTTCTGATAGGTGAACAATTATTAAAAAATGTATTGTTGAGCAATTACAATTATGCAGGTGTAATATTCAGATTCTGATTGTCCCCCCCAAAATTGTGTGTGCATTAATGTCAGCCAGGCTTTCAGCAAAATTGTCTTTGTGTTTTTCTGTTTTAACTGAGCATGTGAAGCGAAAAGAAACACGATCTGATTTCTGCCTGCCTTGATGGAATGAAAACAGGCATGGCAAGCATCAATTTACTGGAAAACATTTAATCAACACCCCCCCCACGTTTCCTGTTGTCTTTGTACACGAAAAAAAAATTCAGCTTATTTATTTATTTTTTTGCTGATTTCCAAGATCTAAGACCTTTTCTCTGTACACAAAATTCCCATTTCTGCTCTCAAATCTAAGTCTGTGATGGTGAGCACATCTACCTCATGTGTGACATATCAAGTTGCTGATTAGACTTGCATGATTATTGCACAGGTATGCCTTAGGCTGCCCATGTTGAAAGGCCGCTATAAAATGTAGTTTTACTGTTGTGGGTGGTGAACCACACAGTATCTGGTCTGATCGCCATTTGCCTCATTCCGTGCAACACATTATTGTACAATTGCGCTTGAGGGTGCCAACAATAAAAGTCCACTCTGAGAGCTGCAGTTTTCATTTTCCAGGAATTGTGTACAGATAGATCCTTGCAACACGGGGTCATGCGTTGTCAGGCTGCAGCATGCGGTGATGGTTGTGGATGAATGGCTCAACTGATCAATTCGTGGCAAAGGAGATGTGTTGCACTGCAGGTGGCAAATGGTGGTCACACCTGATACTGACTTGTTTCCCGACCCCTCAGACGTTCCCGATAGAGATAAACCGCACATTTTTGAGTGGCCTTTTATTTTTGGCGGTCTATCACCTCTGCAATAAATGCCTTGCATTGCACCGCGTGAGGAAACTGGAGCTCGCACCATATTGTGAATTTTATGAATGGAACCGCGTGCACATCTGCGGTCCTCGTGCAAGTCTAAAGCGACCAGCGTGCGCACAATGTGGAAAGATTACAAAACTGGAGAAGAGATTGACTTTTCGTACAGACCCACACAACAGCGCCTGGGCTGGTGGGATCATTACAACATATGGTCTTGCACGAATGCGACCAGATAAAATTCGTACTCGCGATTGCTAAAAAATAGCTTGCATTTGCGGCCAATTTCGCGCCTAAAAAAAAAAAAATATATAGTGATTCTTGACCTTTAACCAGATCATACGCACATTCACCGAACCCTTCATTCGTGACAAATAAAAACATATTTTTTTTACAAATTCAAGACAAAAAAATGCATTTATTGAAAAAGAGAAAAAAAAACTGTATAAATATAAAGTATACGTTTTTTAATTGTGCACAAAATGAACCAGCCAGTGATAGCCAAGCGGGCGTGTCATAACTAATTGACATGTTGAGTCGTGTGTCTTAACCTCCTTGGCAGAGGCTCTGTTGAACCCCTGAGACTGATTCACCGAACCCAGGTTAAGAAGCACTGATATACGGTATATCACTGGATCATTTATCACTGGATGAACAATGTTATTCAGGTAGTATGGGCAAATGGCACTGTAACACCGCCACTATCAAAAGCTCATTTAGTGACAACAGTGGCTGTTGTATAGTGCACCCCTTGACGTCTTCAACATTGTTGGCGGCCATTATTTCTGCTCAATGTGAATCGACTTTCATCAGAAAACAGCACTCAGGCCCACTGGTCTCTTGTCCAGTGCAAATGCTCCCTGGCCCCTGCAGGAAGCCTGGTGGTGTGGTCAGGTACCCATGCAGGTCATCTAGCACATAGACCACGCTGATGTAAACGGTTTCAAATGGTCTGACGTGACACCTGAGTGCCTCCTACATCCCTTACCGGTACATGTGCCTGGAGTGGTGTGGCATTCACCATTCGGTTTCTCAGGGCATTGTTCACAATCTAGCCGTCATCAGCAAGGCAT